TGTTATTTATCATATATACATTTTTTTCAAAGGGCCCTTTCATTCACAGGAATAATATGAATTGTCAGAATTTCAAGAATACAGTCAGGTCAGTCTGAAGAAATTGCAGTTAGGAAGGCCTTTCTCTTTCCTGCAGTAAACTCGTTCTGAGTCCACCATTTTCTACCTTATGCATTGCTTTCTTTTCCTCCTGTTTTACTTCTCCTTTCTTTAATTCTCCTATTATGTTCTTCTATTTCATTCCTTTGTTTCATATTCTACCCACCTCTGACTTATTCCAGAAACATTTAAAGAAATGACCTGATCCTCTAGATCCTATTCACAGTAGGGAGATTGAGGGGGAGGGGAGAAAAACCTTGACTGCAGTTTTAGATACCAAGATCTGAGCCCACTTGCTTATTTTAGCAGCTTCAATGGATAAAGAAAATGCCATAAATGGAGATCCTCAACTCAACTGTAAATGGTATCATGTAAAACCTGTACAAATTTGCCAAGATGCTCCTATGACTGTTAGTTTAGTGAGTGGTAAAATGGGTAGAACAATGTTTATTTAATTTATATCTATAAAACTAACACAGAATTCATAAAAACACATCTGGATATAAGAGATTTGGGGACAATATCACAGCTTCCTAACAGTATTTTGAACACTGCCATAGATGCTCACATCTACATTTTCAACATCATTGTGAAAACCAGCTTAAGCTAATAAAATATTTGCCATATACTTCACACTAAACAGAACTGAAAGAGATTAGATTGTTGGTGGCAAACACCTCTTTTGGAAATAAGTATGAGTAAGCAACACACGTCAATCAGTCTCTTAAAGAACAAAATACATTCTTTAAAGTAGGGTGCCAAGAACCATAGCTCTTGAACAGTATGTGGCTCAATAACTTTTTCAACAACCTTGAGAGCAATGAGTCCTGATACTACTACTTCTCACACACACACACACACACAAAAGAATTAAAAATATAAATAAAAGTCTTCATGCTGCCCTATCCAAGTGGGTCACTGCTGTTTTTCTCTTTACTCAGCCTTAGCTATGGAGGTCTGCCAAGCTTGGCTGTGGTCCGCTGCATATTTTAAACGCTGGGAATGTTTATGGCCATAGAAGGTCAGAGAACACTGCTACCAAGCAAAACTGGAGGCACAAACGGGAAAGACAGAGGCTAAGATTTAGGTCATCTCTGGGGAGAAGATCTCTGTTTACTGTATACTTATTGTTTATTGGTACTCATGCTTTTCCATGTTCTAAATTAAGAGCAGTATTTTAAGCACCTTAAAGGTGCTTTGCAAAATTTTAAATAAAAGTGATCCCAGTATCATAGAAACAGCAGAATTGCCATCTTCTGTAAACAGAACTGGCAAACATTTCATAGGTCTTAAAATACCACCTCCTTTGGTTTCCCGCCACCATCCCACCACCAAGGCCTTTATTTCCTTTCCAGAGTTCCTTAAAGCAACAGCCCAAAGTGCACTAGGAAGATTTGTGGGACATAGTGATACTACAGAGACTGGGAGAGGCTGGCCTGTGGAGATGTAACAAAACTAAAAACAAACTCACTGCTGTTGAGTCTGACCTAACTCATAGCGACCCCTCCTTGGGTTTCCGAGGCAGTATCTCTATGCAAGTAGATTGCCCAACCTTCCTTCCGAGGAGTGGCTGGTGTGTTTGAACCACCAGCCTTCTGGTTAGCAGTCAAATGCCTTAGACACTACACCACCAGAGCTCCCATACATAGTGTAATTTCTTTATACAGAAGCCTTAAATTTTGACTTTGAGTAATTCTCACAAAAAGGCATTTCTACCCTCTCACCATCTGCAGGGGCAGTCAATGGACCAGTGAAACACACATAATCAGTTCTATTGATATTTAAGGAGTTTTGGTGGCACAGTGGTTAAAGCAGTCAGCTGCCAACCAAAAGGTTGGTGGCTCGAACCCACCAGCTGCTCTGCGGGAGAAAGGAGAGGCAGTGTGTTTCTGTAAGGATTTAGTCTTGGAAATCCTATGGGGCGGTTCTACTTTCTCCTATAGAGTTGTTCTGAGTCAGAATTGACTTGATGGCAGTGAGTTATTGATATTTAACCTTGGAAACCCTATGGAGCAGTTCTACTCTGCCCTGTAGGATTGCTATGAGTTGGAATCTACTTGATGGCTATTAGGTACTTGGTATGGTGATGCAGTGGTAGAATTCTTGTCTTCCATGTGAGAGATCTGGGTTTAACTGCCAGCCAACACACCTCAAGCAAAATCACCACCCATCTGTGGAGGCTTGAGTGTTGCTGTGATGTTGAACAGGTTTAAGTAAAGCTTCATACTACGACTAGGAAGAAAGGCCAGACAATCTACTTTCAAAAAAAAATTGTCAATGAAAACTCTATGGATCACAATATTCTAACTTCATTATACATGGTGTCACCATGAGTTGGGGGCTGTGATACAATGGCAGCTAACAATAACAGATATTTAATTATATTGATGAGTTACTTGGAAAATATTCAAAGATTAAGAATCATGGTTCTATGTATGTGCTACAGATATATTTCTTGTAGTAGAACAATTTAAATCTATCCATATTCCTTTATGTATATACCAGCAAGTTAATGACTGCTAGTTGCCTACACCTACCCAGTCCTCCCTTCTTCTAGGAAAGAAAACCTCAATTCTTAGCCAGAAACATTTCTGTCTGGAATAAACATTATATTTCCATGCTCCCTTGTCAGATGTGGTCACATAACTAAGTCTGGTCAATAAGATGTAACAGAAGTGTGTGACACTTTTGCAAACCATCCTTAAAAGGGAAGGATCATCCCTGGCCACTGCCTGGAATGCAGATTTTAGAGCTGGAGCTCTAGCAACTATCTCAAGGTTAAGAATGGAAGCCAAATGTGGATCATTAGGGAGCAGGAGATATGAATTCACATCCCCAATGATACTCCAAAGAGCCACCACATACTCCTCTTCTACCCATGCCATGTTCTTATACAAAAGAGAGATGCAAAATCTATCTCATGAAGCCTCTCGTATATAGACCTTAGCTGTCTAATTTATGGCAGCTGAACAAAATATTAACTGCTGTATCTATCATATAGTCCAAGGACCCTGTCTGCTCTGGGTTAAAAACATCTTCCTTCCTTCTTCAGAATGTCTTCCTCATTCATCTGTAGCCAAATAGAACCCATGTGAAAATAATTAGTCCAGCATCCTTCCTACAAGATCATCTTTGCCTTTGCACATTATCACCAACCCCTGCATTTTGTCACTGTAATTCTAACGGTTCAAATCCTGGTACTGGCCATTACTTGAAATCTCAGTAAGAAAGCACACTGGGTTTAAGATAGCACTCCCTGGGTGGTACAAATGGTGCATGCTCTCTGCTAACCAGAAGTTTGGTGGTTTGAGTACACCTTGAGGTCCTTAAAGGAAACGCCTAGTGATCTACTTCCAAAAAAACCCATCATTGAGAACCCCAGGGAGCACAGTTCTAATCTGACACACTTAGGGTCACCATGAGTCAGAATGAACTAGATGACAACTGGTCGGTTGGGTTTATGATAAGGTCCATTACTCATCAGAGACTGGATGGGCTCACAACTTTCATCCTTGTGTCCAAGACCAAATGGGTCCCTGTAGTAAATTAATTACATTAATGCACAAAATGAGTAACCTCTTTTCTTTAATCATTATAATCAATTATAATATATCATAAGGATTATAATTGTGTGCTGGAAAATGTCCTTTGATTTTGTAAGCACCCATAAGTGTATCAAGAACATTCTTAATAACATTAACAATATATGTCACTTACTAATAAATACTATGTAACAGTTTTTGTACTATTTGGGTGGCACTCTGCCTGACACCTATTATGTGGAATTCAAAATAAATGTTATTATCTCTATTTTACAGATGAGGAAACTAAGGTTCTAAGGGTTTAAGACCATGTAGCCAGTTCGTAACAGTGCTTATAGCTGAACCCAGAATTGTCTGTAAGCTTAAAAATCTCTCTCTTACACAGTACTATCTCCCAAAATGCTAGATAAAGTAATCTTGAAAGAATATTTATTTTTCTTTTTTCAGAATTACAATGAAACATTCAGACTCTACCTTTATTATATTAACATGAGTATTTTGCAAAGAAAAACAAGAGCGACAAAAACAAAAAGGATTTGTTCCACAACTGGTAAATAATGCTAAAACACAAATGAAACAAGATACAAAATTGTCCTTCCCTCAGTAAATTCATATTTTACTAACAGCTTCAGTTTCAGTATGACCTATATGTTTCCATAACCAGGGTCATTATGTACCTTTCAATCCTTAAATACCAACATTAAAAAGAAACCCCTACAATGATACATTTTTGTATAATTACATCTCTGTAACCTACTGCTTTTCAAACAAGGCTGAGTTATTTTCCACCTCTTTTTTGAGCTTCTTCTTCAATAAAATTAAAATTTTATTAGAATTAGAATATTTAAAAAAAAATCAAGCCCTTAAAGTATTTAATTGAATACATCAAGCAATTTAGCCAGAATTGAAACAATAAATGAGTTAACAAAAAACAGAGGGAAGAAATCAATATTTCCATTAAAAATAAGACATGTGCATATATGTATATATGTGTATTTCCATTTAATTAAACATATACACACATATATATAAATGAAACAATTACAATTACGTTTAAAGTTTATCATTAGAATAATACTTTCATAGGCTGCTCGAAACTGAAGAATTAAAATATACTGATGGTAAGAAAGTCAAAAGGAAGGTTAGAGCTCCCTCTTTCTTCTTCTAAAAGAATTCACCAAAGCCCCTCTAGGAGACCAATGTTATAAAACAGCCCAATAGACTCATGCTCAGAGCAAAGTGTCTCCCTGGTCTCTGTACACATGCTACAAACATTAGAGTACATTTATTGGTAGTTCATTATTCATACATAGCTTAAGTAGAAGGCGAAAAAGCCCTCTGAAAAGTCAGAATACTCACAAAGCCATTTCAAACTGTTCCAGCCACTTTTTCTTTAAATCTTTTGTTTTGCAGTAAAATTCTAACCCATTTTGTCCTTGGATGTGGATGAGGTAGAAACCATAAGACCACTGTTAAAATCAAAATGATCTGAGTTAACATTTATCATTAATTAATAACACCATGCTTCCAAATTCATCATAATCATACAAAAAAAAAAAAGTAACACTGTCAACATATAGACTGTAACCAATCAAGCTTATTATTGTAGTGAACGTCATATCTATGACAATTTCTGTGTTGTTGTTATGTGCCGTCGAGTTGGACCTGACTCATAGTGACCCCTCCTTGGGTTTCTGAGGCAGTAGCACTATGGAAGTAGATTGCCCATCTTCCTTCCAAGGAGTGGCCAGTGAGTTTGAACTGCAAGCCTTCTGGTTAGCAGTCAAGTGCCTTAGGCACTACGCTACCAGAGCTCCTGACAATTTCTCTAAACAGGTGCATTTTACTGTCTCCATCACTAAGACATTAGTGCCTAAGGCACTTGACTGCTAACCAGAAGGCTGGCGGTTCAAACCCACTGGCCACTCCTCAGAAGGAAGGTTGGGCAATCTACTTCCGTAGTGATACTGCCTCGGCAACCCAAGGAGGGGTTGCTATGAGTCGGGGCCGACTCAACAGTACATAACAACAACAACAACAGATCAACGGTGGCAGTGTCCAGTTTTGTGTCACAGAGGCTTGTTCTCAATCAATCTCTAAAAACAAAAACACCAGAATTGGCAAGCACATTCTTTATGAACATTCAAAGATATGACCACAGTACAGTTATTAACTTGCAAGAATTTACCTTTTTATTTTCTTTATCAGTTGTAGGATTGTTGGCTATCTTGTACTGCTGAAGATCTATTATTTCCTTCATTTCATAGTTATCACCTTTTCTTTTACATACAATCACTGCCAAGTCAAATAAGAAGATATGCCTGTGAAAGAGAGAGAGAGAGATTGATTAACTGACTGACTGAAATGGCCTGGAAGAATACGTGTTAATTTTTTCCTGAAAAGTTTTAATTTAACCAACCAAACTTATTTTTCCTTTCAATTAAAGACAAAAAGAAGCGTTGTACATTGAAAAGAATGAGATTGGAAGTTATAAGAACTGCATGTATCCTGGTATCGTTGTTGTTATGTGCCGTCGACTCAGACCCGACTCATAGCGACCCCTCCTTGGGTTTCCGAGGTGGTTTCAATACGGAAGTAGATTGCCCAACCTTCCTTCCGAGGAGTGGCTGGTAGGTTTGAACCACCAGCATCCTGGTATCATAAAACCACACACACACACACACACAAAAAAATCATTGCTGTTGAGTTGATTCCAACTCACGGTCATCTCATGTGTTACAGAGTAGAACTGCTCCGTATGCCAATTCTTGGCTATAGTCATTACAGAGCAGATTCCCAGGCCTTTCTTCTGCAATCCCACTAAGTAGATTCGAACTACCAACTTTTAGATTAGTAGATCAGAAAAACAAACCCACTGCCATCGACTCCATTACAACTCAGAATCCCATAGGGTTTGCAAGGTTGTAAATCTTTACAAAAGCAGATTGCCTCATATTTCTCCCAAAGAGTGGCCAGTGAGTTTAAACAGCTGAGATTTTGGGAATGCTTTAACCACTGTGCCACCAGAGTTTCTTAGAGTGCAAACCCTTTGCCCCTTTGCTGAATGAATGGCCTTACTGTATCTCAGTTATTTCATTTAAAAAATGGGCAAAATTATCATAAACACAATATACACATTACAGAGTTACTATAAGGATCAGCTAAGATAAGCCACAAAGCTGTGTTCATGAGCAACTACTGCTTTTTTTGTTCTTTAAAAGCAAAAAATTTACAGAATAATAATGACAACCAGATCCATCTTCTAGTGAAGTTACCAGCAGTCAGCAAGAATGCCCTGAGAGGATTCAAATTAATCCGGTTCACAAACTCACTTCAATTCCCATGACCACCTGCTGAGATTGTATTATCATCTTCATTTGACTAAATAGAGAGGAGTTAGACACTTTGCTCCAGGTCACACTGCTCTGCTCCAGGGCCAGGACAGGGTCATGCTCAGGACTAACTGTGGGGCCCAAGCTCTGAGCCTCTACGTTACTGCCTCATGATTTAATCGGCCACCTGGAGATAAATTGAGCAGTGTATGGGCAAAAAGTAAATCAGCAAAGTTACAGTAAAATTTAATGCTGATATTTCTCTTTTTTTCTCAGTAAAAACAATGAAATTTGGGAGAGAAAGCAAACCTTATAGCCTTATCATCCAATATTGCAACTTCTATCTTTTCATAAATTCTCAGTGATTAATATACTTTTTTACACAACAGTGATACTGAAGATGTACATTCACATAGGACTAATATTTGAATCACTTTCAAAGCCTATTCCTCCCTGAGATTAAAGGACGTGTGACTTCTGGGAGCTACGAGGCCAGGGCTTCAGAGTAGAAGCAAGAGCTGATGCTGCCCCCTGCTGGCTGACTAGCTCTTCTCCAAATATTCCAGAACATGCCCATCTTGGCCACAGAGATGGTAGCTGTTGGTTGTAATGTCATTGTTGTTACATGCCATTGAGTCAGCCCAACTCATAGCGACCCCTCCTTGGGTTGCCGAGGCAGTATCACTACAGAAGTAGATTGTCCAACCTTCCTTCCAAGGAGTGGCTGGTGGGTTTGAACCACTAGCCTCTGGTTAGCAGTCAAGTGCCTTAGGCACTATGCTACCAGAGCTCCTTGAAATGTCATTAGATAAGTACAAAAACAAACCAAACTCATTGCCATTGGATTGATCCTGACGCACAGTGACCTCTATTGTGTTTCTGAGGTGGCAAATCTTTATGAAAATAGATTGCCCCATCTTTCTTCTGTGGAGTGGCTGGTAGGCTTGAACTGCCTACCAGCCTGGTTAGCAGTCAAATGCCTTAGACACTGTACCACCAAAGCTCCTTCATTAGGTACAAATACATGTATAAATTGGTATTTCTTGTTGTAGTTAATCACCATTGAGTCAATTTTCACTCATGGTGACTCCATGTGCGCAGAACTACTCTATAGGATTTTCAAGGTCATGACTTTTTGGAAACAGATCACCAGGCCTGTCTTCCAAGGAGCCTTGGGAAAGGTCCAAACTGCCAACATTTTGCTAGTTGTGGAGCATGTAACCATTTGCATCACTCAAGGCCTCATTAGCCATACTAGTATCAACTGGAAAATCACATATATATAATCAGAGACACAAAGTCATGTTAACTAACCTTCAAGGACTCTACCTGCAAATTTCCTCAAGAAAATCTCATTAATGGTCCTCATTCAGACTTCCATCTTAGGGCATTTTTTGTTATTTTAAAATGCATACCAAAAATATCAAACAATTGTGTTTCTATGGAAGGCATCTGTTGTTACTTTACCTGTATTTATTTTAACATGAACTTTTTCAGCCTAGCTGACCTCGTCTATATTTGTCATCTCCTTCTCAAGAGCTTACACTTAGACAAATCAATAGAAATCAGAAAAGAATGACAGTATCTGACATACCTATATTAGAAAATCTTAAAAACTCACAGGTTGGTCTGTCCTGTATTTTTCTTCTTTTTTATCCCTCTCCTTTGTCTTAGAGAAACTGTTTAAAGTTTTCTCAATTTTCTGATACCAAAAAAACTAATCCCACTGCCAAAGAGTCAATTCCAACTCACAGTGACCCTACAGGACAGAGTAGAACTGCCCCATAAAGTTTCCAAGGCTATAATATTTATGAAAGCAGACTGCTACATCTTTTACCCACTCAGCAGCTCATGGTTCCAATCACTGACCTTTTGGTTAACAGCCTAATACTTAACCACTATGCCATCAGGGATCCTTAATCGTCTGATAATAATCACTTATTTTGAAAACAAGAATTACTCCTCTTCTCTCACCTTTCTTGCTTTGTATGTTTGTCTAGAGTGGTTATGCGAATTTCACCATCTCCCTGAGGCCGTCCAAAAAGCAACACTGGTTGGTTCTAAAAGATAAAATGAACATTTCTGAGTTCTGTATAATCACATATATAGAGAAATAAATGCTAAAAAAGATGCTTTCTAGAGACAATTAGCTGATTACATTATAAATATTATCATTTTACATTTTTAAGCACAGGTCCATATGACACACTTTTAAAAACAATTGGTCCTTTATCATTTCAGGGCTTTATGAAAGATATTAATTATTCTTAGTATAATCTTAATGAGTAGTAAGCTACCAAAAGAGCAAAAAGTCAAACTCACTGCCATCAAGTCAACTCTGTCTCATAATGACCCCTTTTGGATTCACGAGATGGTAAATCTTTAAGGAAGTAGATTGCCAGTCTTCCTTCCACGGAGTGGCTGGTGGGTTTGAATCGCCAACCTTCAGGTTAGCAGTCAAATGCCTTAGGCACTATGCCACCAGAGATCTTTTTAAAAGAGCAAATCCAAAACCAAAAAAACAAAATTCACTGCCATCAAGTTGATTCCAACTCATAGCAACCCCTCCTTAGTTTACTGAGGAGGTATCTCTATGGAAGTATATTGCCCAGTCTTCCTTCTCATGAGTGGCTGGTGGGTTTAAACCTTCATCTTCTGATTAGCAGTCAAATAGGTTGGAAAAATTCAAATCACTAAGGAGGTACAGAACTAATATATATTGAACAACTACTGTATGCCTCTCACCAAAGTAGATAATGATGGCATAGACCCTGGCCTCGTGGAGAATACTAACTGGGGAACAAATATTCACAGCAGCAGATAATTACAAATGCACAGCTTGTCATGAAGGCAAAGACTAGGAGTATGCAAAGCAAGGGACCTACTTTGGCCTAAAGGGTAAGGGAGGGCTTCCCTGAGCTAAGATGTCAAAAATAAAATGATTAAATATGATGAATTATTTAATCAGAGATAATCAAAAGAAAATTTTAAATGTTTATGAATACCTACTGTACAAGATTTTAAAGGAATAAAAAATTGGCTGAAAAATTAGGACTAACATCTAAAAGATTCCATTCTAATGAAGGAGACAGAAGTGCAATTAACTGTAGTATAAGGAAGTATAAAAATCAGTGCTAAACAGCTGTCCAGGCAATGTGCTGTGGAATTACAAAGAAGACAGGATGATTGGAGATTAGGGAAAGAGATTTATTTTCATTGGGTTTTGAGGAACTTGATAGAGAAAAATGGGAGAAGATATTCTAGGCTCTGAAGAGATTATGATCAAAGGCAGACCTATAAAAATGTATGGCAAATCAGAGACCATAAACCGCAGCAGGGTAGCTGCAACGTAAAGTATGTGGGCAGATATAATGGATGAATGAGCTCAGGAAAACAGTTTACAGCCAGATCACTGAGGGTCTTAAATATCATGCTAAGGAATCTTGAAGACAAGAGAAAATGTTCACAAGCTTGGGAAAGACAGTGAGTTGAGCAATACTCATTTTGGAAATGTAACAGTATGAAGAGACTCCTGTGACTGCCTGGTAGGGATGATAGGGTCTTGAAATGAGAAAGCGGTTGTATGAATGAAAAGAAAGAGACAGGCACAAAATGTTTCAGAGAAAGAAGCAAATAAAACTGCTCTACCAAAAAAAAAAAATTTCCGTCTTCATTGCCAATAGCCTAATCTAGACCAGACAACCATCATCTCTCTCAAAACTACTTCAAAACTTTGCAAACTTGTCTCTTTGCTTAAAAGATCGTCTTGGAATGTGAATCAGATTTTTCACACTTCCTGATAAAAAACCCTCAGTAGCTTCCCATTGCACTTACAATAAAATCCAAACACTATGTCTTGGTGTCCAAGGCCACAGCACACAGTTCCCCGACCCACCTCTCATTCCTTGGCGCTCATCACTTCTGCATTCAATCTCAATCTGTACTCACTTTTCCCTTTCAGCTTCAGGAACACACCTGGCTCTTGCTAGTCTCTGGGCATTTCACTTGTTTCTGCCTTGACACCCCTCCCCGCCCCATCCCTGTGTGGCTTCTTTCTTTGCATCCTTCAGGTCTCAGTTCAAATGGCAAATGGCTTAGAAGGACTTATTCTGACCATTTTATCTAAATTAGGACTCCCTTATAATCCTGTTGGGAGCTCTGGTAATGTAGTGTCTAAGGCGTATGACTGCCTAACCAGAAGGCTGAAGGTTCAAACCCACCGGCCACTCTTCGGAAGGAAGGTTGGGCAATCTACTTTCGTAGTGATACTGTCTCAGAAACCCAAGGAGGGGTCGCTATGAATCGGATCCGACTCTATGGCAGTAAGTTTTTTTTTTTTTTTGGTTTTTACGATCCTGTTACAGCACCCAATCTGTAGCACTAATCTCAATGTGGCATTTTTTTTTTTTTTTCTAATCTTTATTGTGATTTGGGTAAAAGTTTACAGAGCAAATTCATTTTCCATACAGCAGTTCACACACATTTAATCTCATGACACTGACTGCAACTTCCCACAATGTAACAGCTCTTTCCACTTCTTCCCTATAGTTAACTCTTCCTATGTCCTTCCCACCCATGCACTCCTGCCTCCTGAGTAGTCTCCCTGTGCATACACTACCCTTCTGTTCTCCCATGATTGATCTCTCCAAGGAATGTATCTACCTGATGTAAATGTTCAGTCCCTATGCCTATTTTTTGGCTGGAAGCCAGAGGAGTGAGTTCAATTCCAGACCTGAAGAGTAGCTAGGGACTCAGGGGTTTCACCAGGCTCTATCAGACTAGCAAACCTGGTCTTTTTTAAAATTTTTTTTAATGATTTTGAGTTTTGTTCCACATTGTTCTCTCACTCTTTCCAGGATCTCCTACACAGATCCCCCCTCCAAGTGGTCAACAGTGGTAGCTGGGCACCATCAAGCTCTTCTGGTCTCATGGTCATAAACACTGAGAATCACATGGTCTACCAGTCTCTTGGACTAATTGTTTCCATGCGTCTTTGGTTTTCTTCATTCTTCTTTGCTCCGGACATGAAGAGACCCATAGTTGCATCTAGGTGGCTGATTGAAAGCTTTTAAGATCCCAGTCGCTACTCACCTAAGTAGGATGCAGAACAATGTTTTTGCATAGTATGTTATGCCAATGAGCCTGATGTCCCCTGCAACCACGGTCCAAGCCCACAGGTCTAACTAGTCACTCCCTGCAAGTAGCTGGCTGAGGCCAAGAAGTCACCACAATCTTGTCCCTTGTCAGCTCTATTATATATACCTGGCCATTCTTATAGCACATATGAATATGCTTGTAGAGACATCATCTGCCAACCCTATACATGGTCATGGGCACACTCCTCCCTTTCTAGACAAACCTGATGGCATTTTTAAGCTCTTTTTTTTTTTTTTTTTACTCTTTCCTCAATCATGAAACCATGTTGTTCATAGTTATGGCCCAAATACCAAATAAATTGTCCAGCATGTAGTAGTTACCTGATAAATATATGTTAAATGAATAAATGAACAGGAATCAGCCATGAGTATGCATATGGTTGAGAGAAGAAGGAAAAAAAATGGATACCAATTTTTAGTGCTTAGACTATTGGGAGCTCTGGTAGCATAGTGGGTAAGACACTTGCCTGCTAACCAGAGGGCTGGCGGTTCAAACCCACCAGCCACTCCTCGGAAGGAAGGTTGGGCAATCCTATTTCCGTAGTGATACTGCCTCGGAAACCCAAGGAGGGGTCGCTATGAGTCAGGTTTGACTCGACGGCACATAACAACAACAACAACAACAGACTATTGGGAGAAGGGGCACAGTGTGACTTGGGTGATGGCAGAAAGTTGCTAAAAAATGATAAGTCATAGGTACGAACAGACATCCACCTGGATACTCAACTAGAACAATTAGAAAATAAACCTGGGGGCAACAGAAATGAGAAAGTAAACTATCTTTTCCTCAAAAACAACTCCTAGAATGCCCCCCAATTTGGGGACGGGGGGATTGAATGGAAGGATAATTACATACCAAATTTTCTATAGATAGCTGAAACTGTTTAATTTCACGTAAGGTCTCATTATCTCTTTTCACTTCATTCACATATTGTGCCAAGTCCTAAAAAATAGAGAGAAGGGTACAAAAAGAAGGCATGCTAATATTAGAGAAGAGACAAGAACTGCTTTGAAACAAAAACACATCATTAATTCCATTAGTGGTAAAAGTAACCACTATAACTTTTCAATAACAATAAAACGAACATTCAATCAATCAAAACATCTCAAAGGCAATCTAAAACTGTCTGGAGAACATCTGAAAACTTAAGAGTTGTCATCTACCCACCCCTGAGAAGAACAAGGATGCTGCTGCTGTACAAAGAAAAACCAAGTAACATGTGCCACCCTGCAGTACAATAGCACCAACAATAATCAGGTCAGAAGAATGTAAATTCCAACACACTAATAACTGACTTGAGCGAATTCTATTTTAAAATGGGTTAGAATAAGGGCAATGATGAAGGAAGGATTCAAGAGGGGAAAAGTAACTGAAAGTCAGACAACGGATCTGGTACAACTACTTTGTAGAACCAGTTAATAACCTTAGTTACTGACAGCATTCAAGCAAGGCAGTTTGTTTGATTTTAAAGAGTTTAAAAAAAGAAATGAATAGTGAGAAACTACAAAGCACAAAAATGAAATACAGTGAACAAAAAAAAAAAAAAAAACCCACTGGCTATGTTTCTCCATGTGTCTCTACCTATTTCAAAATGTCTTTTCTTATATTTGAGGAAACATTAGCTAATCTTTCCATACTGTAACTAGCTATTTTTATGATGTGTGCTCCAGATTTTCCTGTTTTTGAGCTCTTCTTTTTTCTCTGTCCTCTAAATGCAGCTGCAACAGTAAGAAGGGAAATCTGACAGACAGCAGCTCCTAACTCTGCTCTAAATGGAAATCTGACTTTTCATAGGATATGTGCTTAAATGATTTATTTTAAAATTAGAAATATAACTTTCTTAGAATAATGAATAATCATGAGATGTTTCCTAATGTTGTTGATGTTTGTTGTTAGGTCTCGTCAAACCAGATCCAACTCATAGCGACCCAGTGTACAACAAAACACTGCCCAGTCCTGCACCATCCTCACAATCATTGTCATGCCTGAGCTGATCATCACAGCCATGGTGTCAATCCATTCTTCCCTTTTGCTGACCCTTGACTTTCCTGAGCATGATATCCTTCTCCAGGATATCATCCTCCAGGATATCATCCTTCTCCAGGATACCCCTTCTGACAACATGACCAAATTATGAGACAAAATCTGGCCATTCTCACTACTAAGAAGCATTCCAGCTGTACTTTCTCCAAGACACATTTCTTCTTTCTTCTATCAGTCCATAGTACTTCAATATTCTTTGCCAACACCACAACTCAAATGAATAATTCTTCTGTGGTCTTGTTTATTAATTGTCCAGCTCTCACAAGTATCCATTTCAGCTCACTAATGCCTAGGATATCAATCTTCATGCATTCCATTTTATTTTTGACAACTTCTAATTTTTCTAGATTCATACTTCAGATATTCCATGTTCCAATTAACAATGGATGTTTGCAGCTGTTTCTTCTCATACTGAGTCATGCCACTTCAGCAAATGGAGGCCCCAAAAGCTCTACTTTATCCACATCAGTAAGGTAGGCTCTACTGATGAGGCAGCACTTTCTCAGTCATATTTTAAGTGCCTTTCAAGCTGAGGGGCTCATCTTCCGGCACTGTATAGGACAATGTTTCAGGGCTATTCGTAAAGTTTTCCAGTAATATATCAGACAGTATTTCACTAGTATTCATAAGGTTTTCACTGGCCAGTTCTTTGAGAAGCGGATGGCCTCTTCCTTCTTCCGAGTCTGTCTCAGTCTGGACGCTCCACCAAAACCGATCCACCATGGGCATCCACCATGGACAGCCTCCAGCCTCACAGCAACATGCAAGCCACCAGAGTACAACAAACGGACAGACAAGTTCGGCTCCCTTGGCTGTTTCAACTGCTCTGCTCACTTCCTGGACTTCCCACTACCTGTTCCTGCTTGCCCTGTCTGCCACTGCTCCCTGCCGCCTAGGGCTGTCCCCCACTCTCCTTACCTGTTTCTGCTGCCAGCCCTGTCTGGAAGTGCTTCCTGCTGCCGTGGGGGCTGTCTCCTGCCTTCCTTACCTGCCCCGGCCACCAGCCCAGATACCATAGTTTGGGTTAAGTGCACCTTATTCTTCAAAGTGACATCTTTGTTCTTTAACACTTTAAAGCAGTCTTCTGCAGCATATTTGTCCAATGGAAATATGTTGTTTGCTTTCTTGACTGCCGATTCCATGGGCATTGATCGTGGATCCAAGCAAAATGAAAGCCTTGACTTCAATCTTTCCTCCATTTATCATGATGTTGCTTATTGGTCCCACTGTGAGAATTTTTGTTTTATTTATGCTAAAGTGCAATCCATACTGAAGGTTAAGGTCTCCATTCTTCATCAGTAAGTGCTTCAAGTCTTCTTCACTTTCAGCAAGCAAGGTTGTGTCATCTGCATATCACAGGTTGTGAACCCTCCTCTAGTCCTTTTGCCACATTCTTCTTCATACAGTCCAGCTTCTCAGATTATTTCCTCAGCACACAGACTAAATGTAGTGAAAGGATATAACACTGACACACACCTTTCCTGTCTTAAAACCAAGCAGTATCCCCTTGTTCTGCTTGAAAGACCGCCTCTATGTACAGGCTCCTCACAAGCACAATTAACTGTTCTGGAATTCCTATCATTCTTTGCAATGATTTGCAATTTGCAAATCCCTAATTTGTTATGATCCACACAGTCAAATGCCTTGGCATAGCCAATAAAACACAGGTAAACATCTTTCTGGTATTCTCTTATATCAGCCAAGATCCATCTGACACCAACAATGATATCCCAAGTTTCATACCCTCTTCTGAATCCAGGTTGAATTTATGACAATTCCTTGTAAATATACTGCTGCAACCATTTTTAAATTATCTTCAGCAAAACTATACTTGTGTGTGACATTAATATTTTTTTTAATATAATTTCTGCATTCTGTTGGATAATCTTTCTTTGGAATGAACACAAATACGAATCTCTTCCATTCAAGTGGCCACATTTCTTGGCATAAATGAGTGAACACCTCCTGCACTGCATTCATTTGTTGAAACATCTCAGTGGGCATTCTTCAATTCTTAAGAGTCTTGCTTTTCACCAACCCTTTCAGTACAACTTGGACTTCTTCCTTCAACACCAATGGTTCTTGATCACATGCTACCTCCTAAAATGGCCAAATATCAACCAGTTCTTTTTCATACAGTGACTCTGTGAATTCCTTCCATTTTCTTTTGATGCTTCCTGTGTCACTCAGTATCTTGCCCATAGAATCCTTCAATAGCAACTCAAGAATTACATTTTCTCTTCATTTCTTTAAGCTTGAGAAATGCCATGTTCTTCCCTTTTGATTTCCTAACTCCAAGTCTTTGCATCTTTCATTATAAAACTTTTCTTTATCTTCTCAAGCCAACCTCTGAAATCTTCAGTTCAGCCCTTTTACTTCATCATTTCTTGCATTTGCTTTAGCTACTTTTCATTTAAGAACAAGTTTCAGAGTCTCTTCTAACATCCATTTTGATCTTTTCTTCCATTCTTGTCTTTTTAATGACCTTTTGTTTTCTCCATGTATGATGTCCTTGATGTCGTTTCATAACTTGTGTTCAATGTATCAAATCTATTCTTCAGATGGTTTCTAAATTCAGGTGAGAGGTACTCAAGTTTGTTTTTCAGCTCTCACAGACTTGTTTTAATTTTCTTCACCTTCAACTTAAGTTTGTGTATAAGCAATTGATGATCTGTTCCACTATTGCCCCCTGGCCTTGTTCTGACTAGGTATTGAGCTTCTCCTTCATCTCTTTCTATAGATGTAGTCAATTTGATTCCTGTGAATTCCACCTGGAGAGGTCCACATGTATAGTCACCATTTATGTTGTTGAAAAAACGTATTTGAAATGAATAAGTTGTTGGTCTTGCAAAATTGTATCATGCGATCTCTGGTGTTATTTCTATCACCAATGCTATATTTTCCAACTACTGATGCTTCTTCTTTGCTTCAAACTTTCACATTCTAGTCACCAGATTATCAACACACCTTGATTGCATGTTTGGACAATTTTAGACTGCAGAAGTTGGTAAAAATCTTCAATTTCTTCATCTTTGGTTTTAGTGGTTGAATAATAGTATTATTATTATTATTATTATTTATAGTATTATTAATAGTATTATTATTATTAATAGTATTATTAATAAGAGTATTATCAACTACTGTTCTTTGTGGGATATTATCCTATCACTGGCAGCATTGTACTTCAGTCTAGATCTTAAAATGTTCTTTTTGATGATAAATGTGATGCCATTCTTCTTCAATTTGTCATTCCTGGCACAGTAGACCATATGATTGCCTGACTCAAAAGGGCCAATGCCAGTCCATTTCCGCTCACTAACGCCTAGGATATTGATCATTAGGAGCTCTGGTGGCCTAGGATATTGATCATTATGTGCTCCATTTCATTTTTGACAAATTTCAATTTTCTTAGATTAATACTTCATATATTCCACATTCCAAATAATGTTTTCAGTTGTTTCTTCTCATGTTTTGAGTCATGCTACATCAACAAATGAAGCTCCAGAAAGTTTCAGTCCATCTACATAATTAAAGTCAACTCTATTTTGAGGAGGCAGCTCTTCCTCAGTGTGTTTTGAATGCCTTCCAAGCTGAGGGGCTCATCTTCTAGCACTATGCTTCCCTGCTATTCATAAGGTTTTTAATGGTCAATTTTTTCATAAGTTGACCTGGCCACGTCCTTCTTCCCAGTCTGTCAGTCTGGAAGCTCCACTGAACCCTGTCCACCAGCAGGTGACCTTGTTGGTATATGAAACACTGGTGGCATAGTTTCCCATGTCACAACAATACACAAGCAACCACAATACACCAAACTGACAGATGAGTGGTGCTGAAATCAACTAAATAGTAAAGCAAACACTGAAACTGCTACAGGAACCCAAATAAGTAATTGTGCATTGCTATGAAGAGTCTCATTAGCATTTTGTTTTCAAAAGCAAATGCTTACTTATGTATTAAGTTATGGATAAAAAGTATTTCAAAATCATTTTCATTCAGTATAACATGAAAATTGGGATTTTATATATTTCTCAGTATGTTCAGAAAGTCTGCCTTTATCCATTTGTTCATGAGTTTTCCCATTTACCTAAAAATAGAAACCCAAATTGAACTCACTTGTATTGACGCACAGCCTTCACAATGGTAAGGTGGGCTGATAGCCTCATAAAGAAAATAACTCACACGTGGCTTTCCAAGCTGACTGGCTGACTCTACAGAGTCAACAGTTTTCTCTTATTAACCATAAAAAGATGTGAAATAGAACCATTACATTAAATATTTCTGGTCATTATGAAAGCAGTCATACTTGTACAGAATTTATTGTAATAGATTCTTTCGTTTTATATGTTTTTGATTAAATTAAGTCCATACGAAGATACACTTCAATAACAAATAGCCAGTTCCCCAACCAAAAACATTATTCATATAATTATACATATAATTCATGCATATCCTATATTCATACATATACATGCATGCATATATATATGTACGTGTCGTTGTTGTTGTTATGTGCTGTTGAGTCAGATTCGACTCATAGCCACCCCTCCTTGGGTTTCCGAGGCAGTATCACTACAGAAGTAGATTGCCCCATCTTCCTTCCGAGGAGTGGCTGATGGGTTTGAACCGCCAGCCTTCTGGTTTGCAGTCAAGTGCCTGAGGCACTACGCTACCAGAGCTCCCATATATGTATGTATGTATGTATATATGTATGTATGTGTGTGTGTGTGTGTGTGTGTGTGTCTATAGTGTAAATATATATACAGTGTAAATTCTATTATTTGTAGGCAAGAATAGAAGGTATAAATAAATTATTTATATACTTGTCTTACCTTCATCGCATCAAGAGCAAGTTTCAGATTTGCTTTCTCCATGGGATCAGTGGTATGTTTGACCAGTTCCTATTTAAAAGATAACAATTCTTATTACTACTTTCATGCCATTAAAATCAAGACATAAGAAATAAACCAATTAAATAACCATTATCATTTTTTTTTTTGCAAAATAATGTGATAAAAAAAATTACTTTCATTGAAAATTTTTAGCAACTGTAAGAAGACCAAATGGATACCAAGAGAACATGAGACAATACTCGGAAACATTTTCCTACCAAAAATGAATCTGAATTCTGTTCCCACCATTGCACTAACATTGCTTCCCACATGTCATGAAACAGCCCCTAAATGCCAATCGAACTAACACATTTTAGTCATTATCAAACTCTGCTTCTCTGTAGCTTTAGATTTTGATGGCCATACCCCTCCTTTGGTTTCAGTGGTATCAGGATCTTCTGTGTGTTGCTGTTACTGTTTATTTATCCATCCTGAATTTTTGCCTCTTCCTCAATCTCTCTCACAGGTTCTTCTCTTTTTATCTTCAATTTAGAAAGATATTTTTCCTAGATTTTCACTTTAGTCCTTTTTCATTCATACTTTACATGTTCTACAAATTCTATTACAATCACTGCCATCACATTAACTATCACCTAATAGTTGATGGTTCCTTGTGATCTGAATTCCTCAAACTTCTACAGCTTCTCTCTCTCTCCCCCCACGTCCACTCAATTTACCTATATCTCATTCATACTAAATTACTTTCAATATCCAAAATAAGTTCTGATCTCTAATTCCACTGGGCATGCTGTTTTCTCTCCTTAGAATGAGCTTTCTCATCCACCCATCAAACTCTTCCTCATCCTTCAAAGCCCAACTCAAGAAATATTTATCTGTGAAGCCTTCTTTTACAGTGTTCACTATTCCTGCCCCCAACCTTCTCAGGCATAATTAACCAGGCCTTCATCTGTACCACCTCCAGTGGCTTACATTTCTTTATTCCCATCTAAATGGTGTGTTTCTTCATTACAGGGGCTATCTTACATTCTGAGTGTCTAATATTGTGTTTGCCACAGGGGAACAACAAAAGCAACAATAAACAAAAACCTAAACTCATTACCATTGAGTCAATTCTGATTCATGATAACCCCATACATTACAATATACAACTGCTCCATAGGTTTTTCTGGCTGTAATCTTTATGGAAACGATCATCAGGCCTTTCATCAGTGGCACCTCTTGGATGGGTTCAAACTATAACCTTTAGATTAGTAGTTAAGTACAAACCATCTGCATAACCCACGACCTTTGACACAGGGGGCCACTCAAAACTCTTTGCTGTGGTTAAAGCACTGGGTTGATAACCAAAAGGTCAGTGGTTCAATCCCACCAGCTGCTCCATGGGAGAAAGATGAAGCAATCTGTTTCCATAAAGATATACAGCTTTAGAAATCCTATCCTATTCTGTCCTATAGGGAGTCAGAATCAACTCAATGGCAGAAAGGGTGGTTTGGGTTTTAATGTTTTTAGTTGTAAACAGACCTACAGATACTGAATCTGTAAGTGCAACAAACCTATTAAAATTGTATTCCCTTATCTCTCTTTTTTGTTTCTCAATTAAGTATAGCAAATTAGTCTTCAAAGTTTCAAATTCCCCATTATAAAATATTCTAATGCTATAAACCTGTGATTTCAACTCATCAAACATTTCAGAATAGATTTCTCCACTATACCAAAAAAAAAAAAAAAAAAAAAAAAACTTGCTGCTGAAAACAAAAAGGGACTCCTAGAGACCCCTCCTTGGGTTTCCAAGGAAGTATCACTATGGAAGTAGATTGCCCAACCTTCCTTCCAAGGACTGGCTGGTGGGTTTGAACCATCAGCCTCTGGTTAGCAGTCAAATACCTTAGGCACTACGCTACCAGAGCTGCCTTCTTCACTACAGTATACTAAAAAAAAACAAACCAAACTCACTGCTGTCGAGTTGGATCCGACTCAGAGTGACCCCTCCTTGGATTTCTGCAGTGGTATCACTATGGAAATAGATTGCCCAACCTTCCTTCCAAGGAGTGGCTGGTGGGTTTGAACCACCAGCCTTCTGGCAGCAGTCAAATGCCTTAGGCACTATTCCACCAGAGCTCCCAAAGTATACTAGTAAGTAAAAAATGTCCAAATTCATAGCCACATTTGTTAGACAAATTTCTAGACACTAAAATAAAATAAATGGATTTTACTCAATACTAGTTCAAAACAAAACAAAAAAAAATCTAGAATTTTTATCTATGTGTGCTCCCCTAAATAAATCTTTTCCTATTAAAGTCATAAAAGAAAATAAAATATATTTTTTAAATTTAAAATATGGAGGAACCAGAAAGGAATTAGGAAAAAAGTTACCTGAATTTCTAAAAAGTATAGCTGCATTTTATACTTTTAAAAGTTTCTAAAGTCTTAAGTGAAACCAAAATAGATATTTCTTGAAAAGTACACCTTTTATATTCTTCAATCAATATTTGACTATATCAAATTTATAAGATAAATTATTATCTTATTTTCCACATGTCTTTAGGTCCATGATTTTTAGGTCTCAGAATCTGATGGCCAGAGTCTTTTTTTTTTTTTTTTTTCATAAAATCCAATTTGATTAAGTTGCTTTGAGCTTAGGTCTCATAAATGTTTTAATGCATTTTTAAGAAATAATCTGAGTTTGAATTTTTCTGATTTCTCAGTAGAACAAAAATAGAGACAAGTAATAATTCTGTGGTTACAGTTCAAGAAATTTAATATACACGTAAGTGTCATTTAACATCCATAATACATTCTGTGAAATAGGACGTTATGTGATTTGGACATTGTACGTACGGCATTTTCATGTACTTAGCAATTAGACATGTCTAAATCGAAAGCAATAGCATTCACTGATTTTCCACTTATGTGATGTTTAATAACTTTAGTTTCACTTCCAAATCAATACTTTTCTTTTGCCTCTTGCTGCTGCCTCGCTAGCACTGGTCTTGCTACATCTGGGAGCCATGATGTACTTCACAGTAATATTTTCAAAAGAAAATTAAAAGAGAGATATCACTACAACACTCTAGAGACACACAATATACAAGATTTGATGTTGCTGCCTATGAGTTGAAGCATACCCTGTTATATGGTAAAGCTTTTATTTGTAAATAGGGAAAGTTCACATTAAAATAATGATAGAAAGTAAGCACAGTTCATACATAAGCTAGCAACACAGCCATTTATTATGACTATCAAGACATGTATTATATACATGTACTATACCATTATACACCCGGCTGTGCAATTACTTTGAATACAAGGGACATGAAACACACATGTTGCATGCGGGAAGCCGTTGCTTTTGCTACATCTGGTTATGTCTACTACATCCTGTTCTTCAATGGGATTTCTAAACTCTAACATAACTTTCTGAGACCATGGACATATGTGCAGTCAGACATTGCTGAAATGGATATTATGTGGTGCATGACTATACAAGATGTACAAAGCACAACAGACTCAAAAATATATTTCGCATACAGGTATTAGATCTTTTTAAAATGACATTTCACAAACATCAGTGGAGCTGACAGACTAATACAGTAAGACATTCCTTTGGAGCAGAACTAATAAGTCTCCTGGCACAGCTATCAAATTAAATTTATAAGACTCTCCACTCTCATTAGAGAACTAACCGTGGAAACCATAAGCTTTGTGGGTTATAACAAGAATCACTTCAAAATAAATGTAGTCTTATTATAATTTAGTAGAGTAGAAAGCAAGACAGAATATGACACAATTATCTTGTTGTTATAAGGCAAGAGGTCTAAAATGATTAATCCGCAAAAATGCAGGTGTATTGCAACATTGAGATGCTGAAAAATGATCACTGCTAACTACAGAAGACTTCGTTGTAAGGCTATTGTTATTTGTTGTTTTGCCTTGTTTTTAACGATTACTTTTTGAGCCAATTCTGTTTGAAGGACACAAAACATAACTCTGTGGCAGATACAGATTCATCTTCACTAAAAGGAGGAAAAAATGTCCAGTTGTTGTTATTTCCCACTAAGTTATATAAAACTTAAAGCAACAGGGCCCAAACCATGGGGTATCTGGAACACAGTTGATACTCCATTAATATTTTTTTGAATAAATAAAAGGACAAACACAGAGTTTAAATTGAATACCTGGAGAAGAAGGTGATACTTTAAAACGCGCTGCATAGGAACCACAAGCAAATCTCGAAGAGTGAATTTCCCATTATTTGCTCTTTTGGAACATTCCTAATAAAATGTTAAAAATAAATAAGTAAGCTTTTTAAAAACTTTGTTCATTTTCTCATGGGAGTCATAAAACAAACATTAAAAGATAAAAAGGCCATAAACTAAATTATTATTATTATACAATTAGTACTTTGCTGTTTCCCTTCTTACCCCTGAAGAAATTAAAAAACAAAACAAAAAATCTTATAGCCTTTCAATTACAAATATGAATCAATGAATAGAACTGTTTTATGGATGAAAATTATTCTCTCCAGTGCAGAATCGGGGCTCTCCTACATCCTCCTCAGCTTTTCCTTACAGCAGCAGTACCTTTCCCCACCCTCTCCCAGTGGGCTTGTGGGCCAAGCATCAAGAACAAGTCCCTGCTCATCAAACCTGCCATGTGCCTTCCCACCTCATGCCTTGGTTCACTTGATACTCTCCAATTGCCCTGCGCTTTGTCCAGTCTCCAAGGATATCTAGTGATGTAATGATTATAGTGTTTTGCTGCTAACCAAAAGTTTGGTAATTTGAACCCACCAGCTGCTCATGGGAAAAGATGAAGCAGATGCTTCTGTAAAGATTTACAGCCTAGAAACTTTACGGGAAAGTTCTACTCTGTCCTATAGGGTTGCTATGGATCAGAATCAGCTTAATAGCAATGGGTTTTGGGTTGCCCAGGCTCCAGCAAAATTCATCATCCTCCTCAAGAACTACATACTTCTACGTTTTCTGTAATAATCCCAATAAAAACCATGCACTCTCTCTGTGCTTTTACGGCTTTAATTTTAATCACTGTTGTACACAATGCCTTCCCCACAATACATTAGGTCTCTTGTACTTTAAGAAGGTGGTACCTGTTTAACATCTTTGTTGAACTGATGAAATGGTAAGTTTGGCTCTTAAAATTTGCTACAGTATAAACCTACCACTGGAATTAAAACTTTAAAAAGCCTCAGATTTATTTTTAATCTCATATTCTTTTTTTCTTAAAAATTTACTTAAATATAGTATTGATTTGTTCAGTCTTTTTATAATAGCTACAATGTGGAGGAAACAACCCTGAGTTTGAAGTATCAAAGCCTAAGTTTAAATCAGCTTCAGCATCTCCTGGCTGCATGACCTTGGACAAGTTCCCTTCTGATTATACTGTTTCTCATGTATCTATACAACAAAACACAGCACACTGCCATGGAGTCAGACTCGACTCATAGCGACCCCTCCTTGGGTTTCCAAAGCGGTATCACTACAGAAGTAGACTGTCCAGTCTTCTTTCTGAGAAGTGGCTGGTGGGTATGAACATCCAGCCTTCTGGTTAGCGGTCAAATGCCTTAGGCACTATGCCTCCAGAGCTCCTCATGTATCTGCAGTGTGGTTCAAAATAACATAGCAAAGTGCCAATGCAAATTTTATTATTACTGATCAACCTCATAAACCCAAAATCTTCAGACAAATGACATCCCAGAACAAGGACATTTCCAGTTCATGGATGGAGATGTACTCAAGAATCAATCTTTTACTCATGAATTTGTTTCTTCTTTACCAACACTTATCTTTTCTGGCACAAGGAAGGATATATCATCAGGGGCTGCAAAGTAAACCCCATTAACTCTAATGACAGGTTACTTAATGAGTGTACTTTACCACCGATCTTAAGCAAGAAGAACTGAAGGCACATCCTGACATATTCACTCTTGTCTCGTTGATTCCTACTGTTCATGGGAAAGGTAGTGCCTTCAACTAATTTCTTGCTTCTACAGATAGTACAGCATCTGAATCATGGATTTCAAGTAAGGGGTTAAACTGTTAATATTATTGTGATGAATGGGCTTTATCATCACAGCTAAATTTTCAAACTCCCTGGAACTTAGCTTGTATCTTTATTACCTTCTTACATTATGCCATCCCAACACAGAGTTTGGACACTTTAGGTTGTGAAGAAAATAGAAATGTTATACATTTTCCATTCCCTATGTTATGTTATTGAAATTAATATAAATGGGTAGGGGAAAAAATCATTCTTTTAAGTTCTAAGTTGTAGGTTTAGGAAGCAAAGAATTCAACCTACTAGCATTAGAAGCATTAGCTACAACTGAGATGTAAAATAAATGCTTAGTATTGAGAATAAATAAAGGACAGAAATAATTTTCAGAAAATACCCAGTCACTTGTTTAGCCTAAACTCCATAGGAAAATAAAATAGGGTAGGGTTAAGCTAAGATTATAAGGCAAGATAAAGAGATTCTATCACCCTTTACTCCATGTTCTCTTGGTTCCAAAGTGGAGATGGAAAAGACAAAAGTCAACAAGAGCAAAAATAACCACAAAAGAGAAGACATGAAGGAGGCCCAGAGGCACCAAGAGTAAAGCAACTTTCCCTCCAGCCTGCTGGGGTTTACAGAAGGCAATTCCCGCAGAGTATTTGTCAGTTGTTCCACCAAGTACCTCAAAATCAGGCCAGTGTCAGAAGTAGGGTTTTTCACCTGAGGAAAGGACAACCAGCAGCACCTCCCTCTCAGCATTTCAAACACTGCCTCAGTCCTCTTTCCCTAAAGCTCATGTTGTTGTTGTTGTTGTTGTTGTTATGTGTCCAAATAATTTTCAACACAGAGACCCCAGGTTGGAGGGTAGAACTGCCCCACAGAGATTTCTAGGCTGTAATGGGAGCTCTGGTAGCATAGTGCCTAAGACACTTGACTGCTAACCAGAAGCTGGAGGTTCAAACCCACCAGCCACTCCTCGGAAGAAAGATGGGGCAATCTCCTTCCATAGTGATACTGCCTTGGAAACCCAAGGAGGGGTCACTATGAGTCGGGTCCAACTTGATGGCACATAACAACAACAACAACAACAATCTTTACAGAAGCAGATTACCAGGTGTTTCTCCAATGGAGCTGCCAGGTGGGTCAACTGCCAATCTTTTGGTTCATGGTTCAGCACTTAACTGTTGCACCACCAGGGATCCTCTAAGGCTGATAGTGACTGCAGCAACAATGGACCTAAAGTAGGTTCATTACATAGGGCTCTAACAGTGACTATGACAAAGAGAAGCAACATTCAAACAATGCTGAAATGCTGAAAGCATCTAAAAAAAAAAAACTCACTGCTGTCAAGTTGATCCCAACTCATAGCAACCCCTCCTTGGGTTTCTGAGGCAGTATCTCTACAGAAGTAGATTGCCCAGTCTTACTTCTGAGAAGTGGCTGGTGGGTTTGAATGGCCAGCCTTCTGGTTAGCAGTCAAATGTCTTGGGCACTATGCCACAGCACAATGGAGGTTTAATTGACAACTTTCTGCCTCCTGTCTTGAGCTAAACCAAAAACCAAACTCATTGCCCTCAAGTCGAATCCAACTCATAGCAACCCCTCCTTGGGTTTCCGAGGCGGTATCTCTACAGAAGTAGATTGCCCATTCTTCCTTCTGAGGAGTGGCTGATGGGTTTAAATTATCAGCCTTCTGGTTAGCAGTCAAATTCCTTAGGCACTACACCACCAGAGCTCCTGTCTTGAACTAGGCCTTTATATTTTTACTTAAATAAATAAATAAATACTCTAAGGATAACTGTACCAGGAGCTAGCTTTGAAAGTTGTAAAGATTTATTTTATCATCACATTTTAATTTATTGAGTCAAGGTAGCTTAGTTCTGTACTTTTAAGGCTCTATTTTCCCAAAAGGAGCAGGAACTCTTTATACTAACATATTGTGAGGATGTTAGTTAACAGTGACTTGAACCATCTCCAGACACACGAACCACACCATCAAGGATTGTAATAGGTGAAGAAAAACAATCCATGATATAGACTTCATACAGTTAGCTGGTGGCCTTTAATGTGCAAACTTTCAAACCCATAGTCCTCCCTGCTGGGAATTATGAGTTACAAGACATGGTAGATATGCTAAAACAATGAAGGAGTTCCAATTGAAAGTCATCTACTTCTTTCTCCCCTATTCATCACTGACCATACTGCTAAGCTGCACAGAAAGCAGCAAGGGGGGTACCAGAAGGCAAGATAAGCCTTCCACTATCCCCCCTGCTGCTTTCTGTGCAGTTTAGCAGTATGGTCACTGATGAATGTTGTCATTGAATGTCAACTATACATCTCGATATGAAATTTAAAGAAATGCCAACCCATAGATAATATATTTTTGATAGTTTGTATCAAATATAAATATTTACCAAAAGCTCTCTGAAACTGCAGGCTCTTCTTATTTAGAAAAAAGAAAAAGAAAACATGCAATGTACAAACACATGACTTAACACAAGTTTCCCGACTTCTTATTTTCCATTGTGACCATACACTGTTTAAATCGGCCTACTCTCAATTTCTTAAGCTTTCCCAACTCTTTTCAACACACCAAAACCAAACTTCCTGCCATCAAGTCGGATCTGACTCATAGGCACCCCTCCTTAGATTTCCAAGGCAGTATTACTACGGAAGTAGAATGCCCCATCTTCCTTCTGAGGGGTGGCTGGTGGGTTTGAACTGCCAGCCTTCTGGTTAGCAGTCAAATGCTTTAGGCACTATGCCAGCAGAGCTTCTAACTCTCTTCATCAGGACATGCCAATTCTTCTGGAATACCCTCCATGGGATCTCATCTGTCAAAACTCAGCCTATTCTTCAGTACCTAACTCCAATGCTGCCTCTTCATATTGAAGTGATTGCTCAGTCTTACTCATGGAGCCTTGTCACATAGCGCTTATGACATTCAACTTAATGCTATTATATTTTCATTTGACTTGTCTTTCTTTTTATAGGCAAGAACTATGTCTTTCTTATACTTCTGCTGCTAAGTGTCTTATGTTTAATAAACTTTTTCTAAATCTACATATATACTGCATAATAGGAGCTGTGGTAGTGTCGTGCCTAAGGCATTTGACTGCTAACCAGAAGGCTGGCAGTTCTCATCCTACACCTCTTCCTAGCTAAGCAACCCCAGGCAAATTCCTCATAACTTCTCTGAACCTCAGCTTCCTTATTGATTAGATGGGAAAATCAATTGCATGTATCTTGCAGAGTCATGAAGACCCAATGAGATAATACATATAAAGCACAGGGTCATAAATCCTAGATTTCATTACTGTATTATTACTACCACATTATTATTTTATAGGGCATTAAAATATTTTATAAAATTGACGTGAAGTTATATTTAGAATATATAGGAAACTTTACTGTTGCATTGATCATGACAAGGAATACATTTCTTTTAGGTTTATTTTTATCCATGTCATAAACAAAGAATAAAGAGACACCTCTAATTTCAATTTGACATCTTCTTTTGTCTTAGAAATGTAGTCTAAACTAGAGATGGCCGACTCCACTCCACTGCAGTATTGCCCATAAATAACCAACCTGAAGGAAAAAAAGAGAAGTTAATTTATAGGATAAAAACCAAGGATGAAGTACAAGGGTAAAGAGGCAAAATTTTCATCTTTTTAAAATCATAGTTAAGGATCATTAAAACAACAGTAGAAATTCTCTTTAATACATACCATACAAACAGTCATAGAATGACTGAAGGTCATTCCTATTAACAGTATTAAAATGGCTAATTTTTTTGTTCCAAATTTAGTGGGATAACTCCATATGCATTTTTTATAGCAGGTAGATTTTACAAACTAGCTTGATGACTTTTTATGTTGCTTCAGTAAACAAATATATAACAGAAACAAAAATAAAAATTTGTTTAAGCTCCTATCATACATTAAATTTTTACCATTTACTTATACTCAGAAACAATCTTAATTTTTCCTAAAATTCTATTGCAATCACTATTTACAACTGCACTTCTACTCCTTCATACTTTGCAATTAATGAAAGTATGCTTATTTGAACACTGGGTCCGAGAGGCTTGAACTGTGCTGATGGAGGATAACTCACACCGCACAGAACTTGAATTTATTTCAGGAAGGATATTACTGGAGTAATACAGATACTTTGCAAAGTTTCTGTGAAGAAATTCCTTAGTGACATCTTAGTCACTACCAGAACTATAGAGGGAGCTCCTGAGGTATAGTGCCTAAGCATTTGACTGCTACCCAGAAGGTTGGTAGTTCAAACCCAGCAGCCATTCCTCGGAAGGAAGACTGGGCAATCTACTTCCCTAGAGATACAGCTGTGGAAACCCAAGGAGGCGTCACTATGAGTTGAACTGAATCAACGGCAGCTTTTGAGATTTCTTTTTAGTAATCATACTGCTTGTTTTAAAGAAAGACAGAATTATTATTTTGTCACTCTCAGAATTCCTTGGTACTCTAACTCATCTGAGTCATTTAGGAGATTTTTTTTTTTTTTCCTTTTCAGAATTGGAAAACAAACTGACTTTGACTGTATAGCTAATACTCCAAAATAGAGAATTAAGAAACATGAAGAGCTAGGATAAATCTTGTTGTTGTCAAGATGGCCTCTGACACATGGCAACCCAATGCACAACTGAACGAAATGCGAGGTCCTACACCATGCCTGTAGGAGCTCTGGTAGCATAGTGCCTAAGGCACTTGACTGCTAACCAGAAGGCTGGTGGTTCAAACCCACCAGCCACTCCTCAGGAAGGTTGGGCAATCTACTTCCATAATGATACCATCTCGGAAACCCAAGGAGGGGTCGGTATGAGTTGGGGCCAACTCGATGGTACATAACAACAACACATCACGCCTGTGATTGGCTCGGGATTGGACAGCAGTGATCTATAGGGTTTTCATTGGCAGATTTTAAGAAGTAGATCACATGTCCATCTTAGTCTGGAAGCTCCACTGAAACCTGTTCAGCATGATAGCAACACTCAAGCCTCCAGTGACAGATGGGTGATGGCTGGCAAGAGATACACTGACTGGGAATTGAACTGGGAATCAAACCAAGGTCTCTCACAATACAGCACCAGTTAATCAATTCCAAACATTTGCAGATGGGGAAATGAAAAGGCACAGAGTTAAGCTGACTTGCTGAAGATTACATAGCTCATTAATGATAGAGTTTGTAAAGGAATCTTGAGTCTTTTGACTTTTCAATTCAAAAGTCTCTGTACCACACTAGATCCTTTTTCAAAAAAAAAAAAAAAAAATCACCCAGAGATTGCTCAAAATATTGTATTGTCCTGAGATTAATCATCCATATAACAATTACTGCCCAGGTAGGTATCTTAATAAACAATAGTGATAAGCTACTTTGTAGCAATTTTAAGCTAATCATCACTAGAGTTATAAATATCCATAAAATTTAAAAATTTAAAGTTACCTTTCCTTGTAGTTAATGAAAATTTGATACAAGTTCTGGTCATTTTTATTTACAATTGAATCATGAATCTCTTGCATTAGGTTCCGATGAACTTTCACAAGTTCCTTAGAAAAGAAAACAATGTCAAAGGAAATTAGGAATCAGAACCAAAACTACACTCCAAATCAAGAATCCCTATTGTTGCCAAACTTTCCATGCAAAGATGTGCTGAATGCTCCACAGAGAAAACTCCTATCAACAGACAGAAGGCATGAACCATGGCCTCATCTACCCTGAGACCAGAAGAACTATATGGTACCTGACTACCTTTACTGCCTGTTCTAATCAGGGCCACAATAGATGGATCATGATAGAATGGGAGAAAAATATGAAACAGAACCTCAAAATATAAATAAGTAAATAAACATATCTGCTGGACTGGTTGAAACAGGAAGACTCCCTGAGACTAGTGCCTTGATAAACTATTCAAACAAATATCCTCACAACTGCACCAATAAGCAACATCATAATGAATCCAGAAAGTACTGAAACTGTCAAGGATTTCATTTTACTTGGATCCACAATCAATGGCCAAGAGAGCAGCAGACAAGAAATCAAATGATATATTGCACTGAGCAAATCTACTGCAAAAGACCTCTCTAAAATATTAAAAAGCAACTATGTCACTTTGGGGACTAAGGTGACTAAACCAAGTCATGGTATTTTTAATTGCCTCATATGCATGTGGAAGCTGGACAAGGAATAAGGAATACTGACAAAGAACTGATGCACTTGAATTTTGTTGGCAACGAATATTGAATGTACTATGTACTGCCAGAACAAACAAATCTGTCTTGGGAGAAATACAGCCAGAATGCTCCTTAGAAGGGAAGAGGGTGGGACGTTATCTCATGTATTTTGATGTATTATCAGGAGAGACTGGTCCCTGGAGAAGGACACCATACTTGGTAAAGTAGAGGGTCAGTGAAGAGGAAGACCCTCAATGAAATAGAGTGACACAGTGTGACTGAAACAATGGGCTCAAACATAATTGTGGGAATGAGAAAGGACTGGGCACTGTTTCGTTCTATTGTGCACAGGATTGCTATGAGTCTGAACTGACTCTACAGCACCTAACAACAACTCTTCAAAACTTGAATGGAAACAAACTTCTGAGGACACCTTGTAGCAAAGCAACAAATTGGCTAAAAGAATAATGAGTATCACCTATAAGCATTGTGTTCCTTTGAAAAATCACCTATATGAGAGCAAGCAGTCAACAGTAACTATAAAACAAAGATGAGAATGTAAGAGGCCAAGGAAACTAGATTAATGAAAATAAAAGAACCAGAGCCAGAACAGAAACAATGAGAATGTTCAAGCATCGTGAAGAATGTAACCAATGTTACGGAACACCTTGCGCAGAAATTATTGAATGGGAACCTAAACTGCTGTGTAAATCTTCACCAAAAATACTATAGGATATAATTAAAAAGAGAGAGAGAGAAGGAAGAGGAAGGAAAGGAAAAAGAGAAGAGGAAGAGAGATAGGCCATGTGCATGCAATTTCACATCTGACTTGAAGTATCAGTGTCCTGTAAAAAGAGAAATTATCTCACCAGTTATTAGAGGGTAATTTATTCCTTGTATAAAAATGTGTACAGCTCATTTTCATTTTATAATCGTTTCACATTTTAAATAAAACTATCCAAGTGCTTAATGTTTTATTGACAGGATAAAGTAACGATTCATGTCCTTGGGACATAAAAATTTAGATTTGCACTTTGGTCAATTAGTGGTGTCCTAGTGCTAAGCTAACAATAATCAGACTCAATTACTTGAAACCAGACAACTAATGGCATAAAAAAAGAGCAAATAAATTGTCCTAGACACTTTACTAAGAGCAACTCAAAAGTCGGAATTTCTTTTTTTTTTTTTTCCCTGATCAGCAAATAAGTTTCAGTCAGGCAGTAACTATATGTCACAGCCAGGAAATGAGGGAATTGGAATCAAAGTGTCTGTTCCCCACTTTCTCTTCCTGTGTGCCCTGGAGCACACACTGACTTCATAGCATGCAGGGTGGAAAGGAAACATGAATATGTTGCTCCTGACATTTTGTCGAGAAGCATGGAAAAGCTGTAAGAATAAGGAATGTCAAATGGATTCTAAGTTATAACAACCATGTTTAGCTACTTTAACATCTTTCTGTAATTGGCGGTGAGTTTTATGCTAAAATTTAATCTGATATTGTAGGCAATTTCTTCTAGCTAAGTAAAAAATCAAGGAGAATGTCATCATTTGGTCAAAATTAGGGAGAAAGACAACATAGCACAGCTAAGCAACCAGTGCTTAGGAGCACTGAACATACAGAATCAAATATGAGAACTCTGCAGGTGAGACTAGCAAGCCTGCACATAAAAGCTATACATTAAAACTGAAGCAAACCCTACAGCTCTAACAACTTGAATCTCACCTAGAATTATCTGAATTTGCAAATGGCTTAGCTTGCTTTCCTATTTCTGTGTAAATATCCTCTGGGTTTGTAAGATTATGTAAGGTATCTTCAAATTTTAAATGCTTACAAAATGTAAAGATCTCCCATTGTACCATTAAGATCTCCTGCTAAACAGTTAAAAAAAAAAAAAAAAAAAAGTACATTTCAGAAGTAGAGTTAAGGCTAATTCATTTTGAAGCAGAAAGCACCAAAGAGCAGAGGGAAAGGGAGTGGAGGGATGGTGTGAGGTATGGAAGACCACCGACACAGCCAGACCACCAATGCAGCCAGGACAGCGTATGAGACAGTACTCAGGGGGCTTGAGGAGCAACAGAGCAGGGAAGCATGGGGCAGAAGGGGACTGCCCCAAGAAAAATAAATGGTATACCAGGAATCATTTAACTAAGAGCACCTCTTCATGCCTAACAGTTCAGGATTTTACTTATTCATTTGTGATCAGCATGCAACTAACTTCAGTTTAGTGATATGACAAATAAATAAAGATACTTATTTGTAGCTTGGGAGGCAAAAAAAAAAAGTCAAAATCCTTAAAGAAGGCAAGAGAGTGTTAAAATACGGATCTGGAATCCAATAATAGAATTAGGATTTTTACAGAAGTATACCACAATTTTAGCTAGTGTCTTTTAACTTACAGGAATGTTGATGAATACTGCATCAAATTCTGCTGCTGTCAGAAATCTTTTTAGTGGTGCCATGAAGTACTACCAGGAAAGAAGACAGAAATGATCATTACTTTTCCTAATCCACATAATGGTTTCTCCATCAATAAATAATAAAAGTTTATTGAAAGTTGATTGTTTATCAGTATTAGAGATACATACAGAAAAAGCAAAAACTCTTTTTTTTTTCCAACAGGGTTGCTATGAGTCAAAACCAACTCAACAGAACCTAACAATAACCACAAAGATTTTACATTTGGGCAAAGTTGAAAAGATAAATATAAGTGAGTAAGTAGTTTTAGCAATAAGTACTTCTGAAAGTGCGAAAGAGAAAAATACTATTGTGGTTGAGATGGTCAAAAAAATCATGGCATTTTGGAGGAGATATATTTCAGGGTTTATTAACAGAATACCCCTCAAATGCCTGGTGGAGATTACACATCCCTGAGGTCAATCATCTGCTTATACAATTTATGTACCAACTATGGATTTTTCTTCTTTGTTCCTTAAGGTAGTGCCTGGCCTATGTCATGTCTCTTTCTGTCACTACTCCTATCTTTATTCTTGATAATCTCAATGTACATACAGATGACTTTTCCAATAGGCTGACCTCTCAGTTCCTTGATTTCCATGATAATATGCTCCATCCTAGCCCCACTCCTGAGACTATACCCCAAGATCGGTCATTATCAATAACTGCACAGCATTGATTTCAAGCAATCATGAACCCCTCCTGCCTTTGCAGTTCATTCCTTTAAAGAACATTTAAACTCCACTGGGTTTACCAATCCATTACCCCTACCACTGTCCCTCAACCCTCATGTCCTCACTTCCCTCCTTACCTGGTTTATACTCCATGAATCATCCTCAGAATCACTTTTTCACAAATAATCTTACCATTTCTCATTTTATTATGCTTTCCAGGAAAAAAAAAAAAAAATGAAAATCTTCATTAAATCTAACTTGCCCCTATTTTTTCCCAGCATCTAAGAAGATGAACATGAACGATATTGCTCCGGTAGCATAGTGGCTAAGGCACTTGACTGCTAACCAGAAGGCTGGTGGTTCAAACCCACCAGCCACTCCTGGGAAGGAAGTTGGGGCAATCTACTTCCATAGTGATACTGCCTCGGAAACCCAAGGAGGGGTCTCTATGAGTCGAGTCCGACTCGACGGCACATAACAACAACAACAACAATATATTGATAGTCTAATTTTAAATATAACCATAATTATCAGCTGTGATGTAATGTTACATAATCCTACTACATAGCTCTAATTAATTTATCCATGCTCTCTCCTAAACAACTCTTTCATATCTTTTTTCTTCTCTCAAACTTCCAAATTTTTCTCCTTGCTCTTCTTTCCTTAATCTCTCATTTTGGTACTCCCCAGGTGAGGCCTCAACCTTCTCCACATTTATGATAATGGCCCAATCGTTATTTCAATCTAATCTTTACAGACTCATATATCTAACTCTCTCCTTTTAAGTCCACCTAGAGGTCTCCACTTAGAAGTCTGATGCTGCTGTTACTGTTAGCTGTTAATCATTCAGCCCCCTCCTCCTACCGATCCCATACAAAACAAAACAAATGCTGCCCATGATCAGTGATGGATTAGACAGTTTGATACACAGGATTTTCACTGGCTAGTTTTTAGAAGGTTGCCGGGTCTTTCTCCCTAGTCTGTCCTAGTCTTGAAGCTCTGCTGAACCTGTTCAGCATAATAGCGACCCATCAGCCTCCACTGGCAGGTGGGTGGTAGCTTACATGAGGCTCAGAGTGGTGGAGAACTTCACCTAACAGGGTCATGATTCCCACATCCCCTTGTCTGTCTTTCCCTGTCTCAGTAATCCTCTTCACCATTCACATAGTTGCTAATGCCAAAATCCTAGCAGACATCTTTCTCTTCAATGCCCCAACTCCACAGTAGGCAGATACAACGAATCTTACCACCAAATCCCATCAGCTCTATTTTCAAAATTATTTCAGAATCTGATCTCACTGTCTCAACTGATACCACATTATCTGTCACCTGGATTACTGCAATAGGGTCTTAGCTTTCCAGTTTTCACTCTTGCCTTACACAATCCAGAGTGTGTCATTAAAACCTTAAATCAGGTCACAGCACTTCTGCTCAAAATACTCTAGCTTCCCAACAACTCTATGGGAACAGGTGGCCAGCCACCTCTGACTTCACCTCTCCATTCACTCTGCTCCAGCACACCCACCTGATGATGCTTCCTTCAGGCATGCTATAAACTTTCTCATTGGAGGCCCTTCCTGCCAGGAATTTTCTTCCCAGGGATACCTGCAGCTAGCTCCCTCAATTCACTCAGCTATCTGCTTAGACAAGATTGTATCGCTGAGGCCTTCCTTTATCACTCTGTATACAATACCAGCCCCTCATGACTCTATAATATTCCCCTGCTTCACTTTTATACAGAGCACTCTTTACCACTGACAAATTGTATTTTTATTTGCTTACATACTAAACCTTCCATGAGCATGTGAGCGCAATAAGAACTAGAGCTTTTTGTATTTACTGATACATCCCCAAACTCTAAAACAGTGCCTTCCAGACAAAAAAAAAAAAAAGAAAAGAAAAGAAAGTAGTTGTAGAATGCATAAATCTGTAACATACATACATACACACACACACACACACACAGAGGAGTGAAAATATCAGGCCTAATATATTGACAATTAAAGCAGGACTGGGTATCAAAAATAATAGTTGAAGACTTACTTTCTCTATTGACTCCAAAGTTTCTGTATATTTTTCTTCTGTCTGCTTAATTTCTGCTAGGCAACAACTTCTTATATCATTTTCTGGACATTTCTGCAATTAGAATCATCTAATTAAAATTATTTAATCAAATAAATGTATTAATCACATTACTACTTGGTAGTAAACAGAAACAGATCAAAATTGTTGATTTTCTTAAATTTTTTGCTCTCATAAAGCACATAACTGAAAGATATTTCATTGCATATTTGAAGTATCTTTTTTTATTATTTTGAACAACATAAATGAAAACATTTTAGTGATTAAAATTAAGCTTCTGAGTATAAACACTCTCCTTAAATTAAAGTATCTCCTTCATTATAATATTAATGAATCTGGAGACACTACAAATGTGGTAATAAAGTCTTTACTGTAGAGCATACTTTACACCACTTATCTGTCAGTTTGTCGTACTGTGGTGGTTTGCATATTGCTGTAAGGTGGCTATGCCACCAGTGTTTCAAATGCCAGCATGGTCACCCATCATGGACAGGTATCAGCAGAGCTTCCAGACTAAGACAGATGCAAAAGAAGGAAAGGACTATCCACTTCTCAAAGTGTTGACAGGTAAAAACCTTATGAACAGCATGAAAAAGTGCCTGATATATTACTGCAAAACCTGATGAATATCCTTGGAACGCTGTCTTATATAGTGCCAAAAGATGAGCCCCTCAGGTCAGAAGGCACCCAAAATACAACTCAGGGAAGATCTGCCTCCTTAAAAAAGAGTTAACTTTAAAGATGTGGATGGAGTAAAGCTTTAAGGACCTCCATTAGCTGATGGGGCACAACACAAAATAAGAAGAAAAAGCTGCAAACATCCATTACTAATCAGAACAAAGAATGTACCAAGAAGGAATCTAGGAAAATTGGAAGTTGTAAAAAATGAAATGGAACACAAACAGATTTGTATCCTAGGCATTAGTGAGCTGAAGTGGGCAGGTTTTGGCCATTTTGAATCAGACAAACCATATGATCTACTATGCCAGGAACAACAAATTAAAGAGGAATGGCATGGTATTCATCATCACAAAGAATGTTTCAAGATCTGTCCTGAAGTACAATGCTGTCAGTGACAGCATAATACACATATGCCTACAAGGAAGACCAGTGAATATGATTATTATTCAAGTTTAGGTACCAACCATTAAAGCCAAAGATGAGGAAATTGAAGATTTTTACCAAACTTTGCAATCTGAAATTGACCAAACATGCACTCAAGATGTATTGATTATTATTGGTGATTGTAATGTGAAAGTGGGAAACAAAGAAGAATCACCAGTCATTGGAAAATATGGCCTTGGTGATAGAAATGATGCCAGAGATCACATGACAGAATTCTGCAAGACAAATGTCTTATTCACTGCAAATACCTTTTTTTCAACAATGTTGAAAAATAAATGTTGGCTATACATGTGGACCTCACCAGATGGAATACACAGGAATCAGATCAACTACATCTGTAGAAAGAAAAGATGGAGACACTCAGTATCTTTAGCCAAAACAAGGCCAGAAGCTGACTATGGCACAGACCATCAATTTTTCTCATATGCAAGTTCAAGTTGAAGCTGAAGAATATAAAAACAAGTCCACAAGAATCCAAATATGACCTTGATTATATCTCCCCTGAATTTAGAGATCATCTGAAGAACAGATTTGACGCATTGAACACCAATGGCCAAAAACAGACGAATTGTGAGATGACATCAAGAACATTATACATGAGGAAAGCAAAAGGTGATTAAAAAGACAGGAAAGGAAGAAAAGACCGAAATGGATGTCAGAAGAGACTCTGAAACTTGCCCTTGAATGGAGAGTAGCTAAAGCAAATAGAAGAAATAACAAGATAAAAGAGTTGAACAGAAGATTTCAAACAGCAGCTCGAGAGGACAATTATTATAATGAAATGTGCAAAGACCTGGAGTTAGAAAATCAAAAGGGAAGAACATGCTCAGCATTTCTCAAGCTGACAGAACTGATGAAAAATTGCAAGCCTCAAGTTGTGATATTGAAAGATTCTCTGGGCAAAATACTGAACAATGCACCATCAGAACTCCCACTGAATGATGCAGCAAACATGAAAAGAAGATGGAAGGAATACACAGAGTCACTGTACCAAATAGAATTAGTCAATGTTCATCTATTTCAGGAGGTGGCATATGCTCAAGAATCAATGGTATTGAAGGAAGAAGTTGAAGCTGCACTGAAGGAGCTGGTGAAAATCAAGGCTCCAGGAATGACAACCCCACTGAGATGTTTCAACAAATGGATTCCACACTGGAGGTACTTACTCATCTATGCCAAGAAATGTGGAAGACAGCTACCTGGCCAACAGACTGGAAGAAATCCATATTGTACCCATTCTAAAGAATAGTGATCCCACAGAATGTGGAACTTATCAAACAATATCATTAATATCACACTCAAGTAAAACCTTGCTGAAGATAATTCAAAAACAGTTGCAGCAGTATATTGACAGAGAACTTCCAGAAATGTAAGCTGGATTCAGAAGAGGACATGGAACAAGGGATATCATTGCTGATATCAGATGAATCTTGGTTCAAAGAAAGAAAGATACTTATTGTGTTTTATTGACTACCCAAAAGCATTCAATTCCATGGATTGTAACAAATTATGGATAACATCAAGAAGAATAAGAATTCCAGAACAATTCATTGTACTCATAAGGAACCTGGATGTAGACCAGGAGGCTGTTGTTCAAACAGAACAAAAGGATACTGTGTGGTTTAACATCAGGAAGGGTGTGCACAGGATTGTATCCTTTCACAATACTTAATGAATCTGTATGCTGAGCAAATAATCCAAGAAGCTGGACTCTATGAAGAACACAGCATCCAGGTCAGAGGAAGACTCATTAATAACCTGTGATATTCAGACAGCACAATCTTGCTTGCTCGAAGTGAAGATGATTTGAAGCACTTATTGATGAAGATTAAAGACTACAGTCTTTATATTTATATGGATTACACCTCAACATAAAGAAAATGAAAATCCTCACAACTGGACCAATGAGCAGCATCACAATAAATGGAGAGAAGATTGAAGTTGTCAAAGAAAGATTTCATATTACTTGGTTCCACAATCAACACCAATGGAAGCAGCAGTCAAGAAATCAGATGACATATTGCACTGGAAAAATCTGCTGCAAAAGACCTCTTTAAAAGTACTGAAGAGCAAAGATGTCTCTTTGCAGACTAAGATGCCATGGTATTTTCAGTCACTTCACATGCACATGAAATCTCTACAATGAATAAAGAAGAGTGTAAAAGAGCTCATGCTTTTGAGTTGTGGTGTTGGTGAAGAATATTGAAAGTACCATGGACTGAGAGAAGAATGAACAAATCTGTCCTGGAAGAAGTACAGCCAGAATTCTCCTTGGAAGCGAGAACGTCCAGACTTCATCTCATCTACTTTGGTTATGTCAGAAGGGACCATTCCCTGGAGAAGGATATCAGGCTTGGTAAAGTGGAGGGTCAGATAAAAAGGGAAAGACCCTCAATGAGGTGGACTGACACTGTGGCTGTAGCTGTAGACTCAGGTATAATAGCAAGGATTATGAGGCTGGCTCAGGACCAAGCAGTGTTTTGTTCTGTTGTACACAGGGATGCTATGAGTTGGAGCCAAATCGACAGCACCTAACAACAACAACATACCTTATAAGTGCTATAGAATTAATGCAAAAATAATCAAGATATATTTGTTAAGAAAAAATCTTTAAATTTTTTTAAGAATTAACATCTTGGTGTCTGGCCTTTTACCTGAAGTGTTTAAGACTGGAGCTCTTAGAGCATAAAACGAAGAGCAAAGGTTTATGGGCCAGATGGATTTGGAATCAAGTGCCAGACTTGCTATTATTACATCTGTGATTTTGAACAAGTTACTCAGATTCTCTGTGACTGAATTTGCTCATCTGTAAAACAAATCATTACAAAACCAACCTCAAGTCGTTTTGGATGAGATAACCCCTGTAAAGTACTTAGCACCTTGCCAGGTACACAAGAAGGGCCCGATAAAGCTAAGTTAGTATTAGGGTTAACCCTATCCCACGTAAACAATCCAGTGCTAGAAGCTGAGTGAAGAATATTCTCAGGAAAGACACTGAAGAAGACTGCTACTGGCTGGCAACCATGTTGTTGTTGTTATGTGCCGTTGAGTCAGACCTGACTCACAGTGACCCCTCCTTGGATTTCTGAGGCAGTATCACTATGGAAGTAGATTGCCCCATCTTCCTTCTGAGGAGTGGCTAGTGGGTTTGAACTGCCAGCCTTCTGGTTAGCAGTCAAGTGCCTTAGGCACTACGCTACCAGAGCTCCCACTGGCACCCATAGTGGTTGACAATTACAGGGGTCCAGATAATACTCTATCACTTAAGTGTTCTTAAAATGCTGCCAGAGGTGGTCTGTCAGCTACAGTGGGTTTAAGTACACTCCCCTTACATTTACTATATGCAAGCGAGGTAACTTGTTTCTGCACCAAAGAAGCTCCGGCTCCCCAATGGGGGCAGCAAACAATCCGCCAGCCTTTATTAAAGGTTAGAGCACAGAGGGAGTTGAGCAAACTCATCAAAGCACTGAAGAGAGAGAAATCACCACCCAGTTGATGAGCAATAGTCTTTAGTATAAAAAAGATTATGCTAAGCAACTGATTTTGTTTTTGTTGTTGTTTCAAATTACAGATGGGAAAATAATTCATACTAATTCCTCCTAACTGTTATTTCAATGGCAGATAAAGCTTTCTAGGCATATAATGGATATGACAATATCTGAATCAAAGTTTATAAAATTTTATAAAATAATTAAAAAAAAAAATCAAGGAGACTCATAATGGAACAAAAGAAAAAGTACCTCATAGCAACACCTGACAGATATGAAGAAATGTTCTCTAACATATTTTATCTCCTACACTAAATTTAATTTAAAAAAAAATTATCTGCCTTGTAAAAGAAGATTTCCTTTCATAACAATATAATTTCATGATTCCCTGAAATTATATTCTGTTGCCACATTGCCTTCATTTAGCTGAGTGGCATGTCATTTATCAGCCTTGATTTCTTCACTAGTAAAATGAAAGGATTAGACAAAAAAGATTCCCCATGTTTGTTTTAAACTGTAAGATGCCTTGTTTATGTGTCTCCAAGTGCGATAACAAGTATATCAGTTCCTAACCAAGCAAAAGATTAAAAGTTTAAAAAAAAAAAAAGAAGAAGAAAGAAACTATTCCAGGAGTGGTTACATAATTGTATTCATTAGTGTTCCTAATAATATTTTTCCTAATACAATATTTTCAGTAACTTTACAATAAGGCAAATGAAAGGCATACAGGTTGATGTGCTTCCTCTGCCTTCATTAAGTCCTCGTAGACTTCTCCACCTTCATCCTCCCCGTACACACAGTCATAGAGGCCTTCTTCATCTTCTGCACAGGTTTCACTAAAACCAAAGGCATAATTTAAGGGTCACTTTCTATTATGCAAAAAAAAAGAGCAATAGCTAGAAATATTGCATTGGATTTTAGTAGAAAAGAAAATACAGGAAATAAAATGGTAAGAATCAAAAGCTTTATAGGACAGTCCTGTTCCTCCTATGACAGAAATGACAAAAAACAACAGAAAGAAGAGACTCCAACACTGATAGCAGTGACAGCTAATATGTACTGAGCATGTACTATGTATAAAGCACATAACTGACCACTCTGCATATACGATCTCATTCAATTTGGCCAGCTTGGTGGGCATTATTATTTGACCCATTGTAAAGATAAGAAAGTTGAGAGACCAAAAGTTTATTTGGCTTACCAAAGATAAAAACAGTTAGTAAATGGCAGAGCCCTGATTTAAAAGCAAGTCTGTCTTACACTCTGTTTTAATCACTCTATCACAATGCCTCCCATTTTTTTTATGTTTCAAGGCCTCAGTTTCATCATCTGCAGTAAAGAGTATTGTATAGAGATGCCAGGACAGGATCTAACATCATAAATGGCCTTTTAAAAGCATCAGGAACAGCAGGGCTATTATTATCAATATTGAATCCAGCAGTTTTCAAAGTGTGCTCCTTCAAGCCCATTCAGAGGGCACCCAGAGATCCTTATAAACCAGACTCTACTTTTGTCTGTATTTTAATTTAAAAAAAGGCCCAAAACAAAAAATTATTTTAAAAATCAATGACAATCTTCTGCTGGTCTCTTGGCAACTGAAAACCATCCTTGTTTTTAAACTTTCAGCTCTGATGACGTAGTGCGCAAGGCTTTTGACTGCTAACCAGAAGGTTGGTGGTTCAAACCCACCAGCTACTCCATGGAAGGAAGACTGAGCAATCTACTTATGTAAAGATTTACTGCCTCAAAAACCCAAAGGGGTTGCTATGAGTTGGAATCAACTCAACAGCAGCGAATTTTGTTTGGTTTTGGTTTGACAGGCAGTTAACGATGACCAACTGGTACATCGTTCTGAAGGCCCTCATAAGAGACTATAAACCTTCAGTCAAGGTGGAACCAACTGTTCTATCCATTCCATGTTATATTACTATTTTTAGGTTTTTCCTTTCAGTTCAAGATGCCACAAATACCTTCAATTAATTAATAGTATCCAACAATTGAGATGAAATCAATTTAGCTATGTTGGAAAGAAGCATTAAACTTTTCTGAGAGGGAAATTCAATTCCTTCAGCCCTGCCAGATCTTAGTATCCCTCCTGGGCCTGTGCAGATAGATCATTATAGGTGATACATACAAAAATAAACTCAAACCAAACTCACTGCCGTCGAGTCATTCCCGACTTATAGTGATCCTTCCTTGGGTTTCTGAGGTGGTATCACTACGGAAGTAGATTGCCCAATCTTCCTTCTGAGGAGTGGCTGGTGGGTTGGAACTACCAGCTTTTGGGTTAGCAGTCAAATGCCTTAGGCACTACACCACCAAAGGTCCCATAAAAATAGAAGCACTGTAGTTATAAACGTCGCTCCACAAGCTGGAGCATTTTTCAAAGTAGGTGTAATCACAAGGTTGCCTATGAGTGCTGCCAAGTATTATTTAGAGATATTTCTAATACACACCAAGACTGGGCTATAACATATTTTGTTTTGCCACTCAATCTCATACTAAAGCTACTTTTCTTACAAATAGTTTGGTCGAAACTCATTTGCATCAAATGGAACAGGAAAAGAAGTTGTGATAGTATTCAAATGTTCAATACATCAACAATCTATATTAGTTTTCTTCTCTCCAATAGCTACATATGGGCATGTCTGACCTCTGACAATAAAAGTAGGAGAAAATTGGTCACTTGGCCTATATGTTTTACCCAAGGCTTCAAACCAGTTCAATCATGGCTAAAGAAACTAAAACAGAACAGAAATCTAAAATCAGAACAGAACCTAAATCAGAACCAATTAAAGTTTAATATTTTGGTGAAGCAGAATAAGAACCAATACAGGAATGATTACAGGTGGAAGCTCTGGAATGGGAGACTTGGAAGAGTCATAAGAGAGCTCTTTCAGGAGCCTGATGTGGGAGACTGGACTACTGCCAAGACTGTGGAGACACACACATATTCAGAGCAGCACAGATGGCTGCCATCTCTGAGCAGGACACCATTGTCTCTGACTCTGCCAGTCAAGAGATTTGGTTGCTATGTGACATGCATACTGCCCTTGTTTTCTAAGAGGGAGATTAAATTTCTAGCAGGGTGTTAACCCATAATTCTTCCTGTTCTGGTTACTATTCCAGCTCACCCATACTTTACAAATTAAGGTCCATTCCAGTTTTGCTTCATCAGGCATGACTGAACCAGTAAGAACTGGTTCAGGGCCCTAATATTGCCATCTCACACCTTTCTCCACTCTTTCTCATATCTGTTTCTCTCAAACTAAGGACCAAGTGACTCTCTTCAAAACCCTGCCTGCAGTGGGGAGCTGGTTAGAGGGAAAGTCAAAGGAGCTTCCCTATGGGTGAATTCCTACCCTAAAGCTAATTACATAAGAGCCCAAAGACAAAGCTAAGACTTAAAAGCAATTTTTCACAGAAAACTCAAAGCAAGAATTTTCAGGATTAACACTATCTATGGAGATTAGGTGTTGAAGCAGACTGTGTCTCATAGAACACAAGCTGGCATCTCAAAGCAGGCTAGTTCAGGATCCCAAGGTTTTCTCCAACCTTAGCTAGGACTAAATCTCACAGAATTTACAGGGACATTAACTCTGCCTACAAAAACTGGTAAGCAGAGCAGGATAGAGGAAGGCTGTAAAAATAAGTAGATATAAATGACAGAAACAATATATTCTTCCTAATACTTCAAGAAAATCAATTACATTACTGATAATCTTATGATTACTTTATGAAGGTTGTAGCCAAGTCACTGAAACAATCAGAATCTATCTTGCATCACTGATTTCTTGGAAGATTTTAGGAAGGGGAAAAGAAATGTTCTAATTAAGCCAAACCAAAGTACTGACAGCCATTGAGTCAATTCTGACTCATAGCATCCTTATAAAACAAAGCCGAACTGCCCCATAAGGTTTCCAAGGTTGTAAATCTTTGTGGCAGCAGACTGCTGCCTCATCATTCTCCCATGGAGCAGCTGATGGGTTTGAACTGCTGACCTTCATTAGCAGTTGAATGCTTTAACCACTATACCATCAAAGTTCCTTATGTTCTTACTACAAACCAAAACTCACTGCCATCAGGTCAATTCCAACTCATAGCGACATACTGGGTTTCCAAGGCAGTAAATCTTTACAAAGCAAATTGCCTCATATTTCTTCAATGGAACAGATGGTGGGTTTGAACTAACAACCTTTTGGTTAGGAGCCAAATGCCTGAACCACTGCATCACCAGAGCTCCTTTATGTTCTTTTAAGAGACTTAAAATGTAAGATTTTCAAAGCCTATCTAAATGCCCCCTACTCCAGAAAGAGCGGCTAGCCAGCCCTGTGTCTCCAGTCAGCACTTATCTCCTTAGTTCTTCAAATGAAACCTCTCTGAGGAGCATTTCAGGGTCCATGTGGGAGGCAACATAGTGATTAGAAGCCTGGAATAAGAACTGCCTGTGTTCAAATCCAAAGACTCCTACTATCTATGATATGACCTTCAGTAAGTTACTTTTTTTAAAAAATCCACTTTATTGAACTATAATTTATATACAGTGAAATACACAAAACTAAAGTCACATGGGTCAATGCTTTTTTTTTTTTATTTTATTATTTTTTGCTGTGTTCCCTCCTCTCCCCTCGCACCCCTGGCAACCAAGAAAGTTTCCCTCCATATATAAACCTTTCCTTGACCCTCCACAACAATGAACTAGTACTATATTTGTCCTTCTGTGAATGACTTATTTCACTCAGTGTAATGTCCTCCAAGTTCATCCATGTTATGCAGTGTTTTGCAGACTCCACATTATTCTTTAGTGCTACATATCATTCCATTATGTGTATGTACCACAGTTTGGTCATCAACTCTTCCACTGATGGCCATGTAGGTTGTTTCTATATTTTTGCTATTATAAATAGTGCTGCAATGAACATGGGTGCACATATATCTGTTCTTGTCCTGGCTCTCACCTCTCTAGGATATATACCTAGTAATGCGATTGCTGGGTCAAATGGTATCTTTAATTCCAGCTGTCTAAGGAATCTCTATACTGCTTTCCACAGTGGTTGCATCATTTCACAGTCCCACCAGCACTATATGAGAGTCCCAATCTCTCCACATCCCTGCCAGCATTTATTATTTTCTGTCTTGTTGAACCTTGCCATCAGTGCTGGGGTAAAATGGTATCTCGTTATTTTGATTTGCATCTCCCTGATAGCTAATGATCGTGAACATCTCTTCATGTATTTGCTGGCCACCTGAATATCCTCCTTGGTGAAGTGTCTGTTCATGTCTTCTGCCCATTTTATAATTAGATTGTTAATTCCTTTGCTGTTGAGGTGTTGGAGTTTTCTACAAATCTTAGAGATAAGTCCCTTGCCAGATATGTAATTATCGACAAATATGAATTTGATACTGTCATTTTTGTTATGTGCTTTTTCATGATGTTGATTTCTTTGTTCCATATAATTTTCTGTGCTGAGCTCATTTTGTTTATAGATCGTATTATCACTTCCTTCATTGCTATTGTTTTAGTATTTGCTAAATATTTGTGCTGGTTCTCTTTTTTATTTTCACATGAAGGTTTATCATTTTTCTTGGAGGTTACCCTTATAGTTTTCTTCCCAAGTTTAGAACAGTCCGTTCTGTCCTGTAGTTGTCCTGACTCCCCTATCATTTACTTCTGTAACTACACAGTATTTTCCCTCTTTTTGGTTTGTAGTTGTCTTCATTTGTCAATTGGTATCTCTGGTTCCTTGTTTACAATCTTGTAGGCTTATTTACTTTGTATACTTCCATAGTTGGGTTGGTTTCTGGGTTATACCATCATGTGTGTTAATGGTCAGTTGTTGTTTGTTGTTGTTGTGTCTCTGTCCCAAGGACTCCCTTTAGCATCTCTTATAAGGTTGGTCTGGTTTTAAAAATTCCCTTAATTTCTGCTTATCTGGAAATGTCATTAATTTCACCATCATATTTGAGGGACAGTTTTGCTGGGTACATAACTCTTGGTTGGAAATTTTTCTCTTTCAGGGTTTTATACATGCCATCCCACTGTCTTCCTGCATGCATGGTATCTGCTGAAAAAGCAAAGCTTAGTCTTACTGGTTGCCCCTTGTGTTGTTGTTGTTGTTTGCCATCGAGTTGGACCTGACTCATAGCGACCCCTCCTTGGGTTTCTGAGGCAGTATCACTACGGAAGTAGATTGCCCAGTCTTCCTTCTGAGGAGTGGCTGGCGAGTTTGAACCACCAGCCTTCTGGTTAGCAGTCAAATGCCTTAGGCACTATGCTACCAGAGCTCCTGTTGCCCCTTGTAGGTAACCTTTAGTTTTTCCTGGGCTGCCTTCAGGATTCTTTGTCTTTGATTTTGGTGAGTTTGATGGTATGTCTTGGTGATTTTCTTTTGAGGTCTATCCTGTTTGGGGTTCACTGGACTTCTTGAATGGCGATATTCTCATCTTTCATCATACCAGGAAAATTCGCTTCCAACAAATCTTGAACAATTTTCTCAGTGTTTTTCTTTTTCTCTTCCTGTTCTGGAATTCTGATTGCATTTAGGTTATTCCTTTTGATGGTATCCCACATGAACCTTAGGCTCTCTTCATTTTGTTTTTATCTTTTTTCTGATTGTTTCCTTACCAAAGAAGTATCGAGGCATTTGCCTTCAAATCTCACTAATTTTGTCTTCCATTCACTCAATTCTGCTCCTTTGCCTGTTCAATGTCTTATCTATTTCTGAAAATTTAGTATTAATCTTGTAGATTTCTATGGGTAGATTTTTTATAATTTCTAATTTTTCACTTATTTTGTCATTTTGTTCTTGCATTGTCTTTTGAAATTGTTCTAGGGTTTTCTCTGTGTTTTCCTCAATTTTGTCAGTGTTTTCCTTGATCTGTCTCTCAGTTTGTTGAAGGTACCTAAATATGATTCTTTTAAATTCCTTATCAGGGAGTTCCAATGTTATGTCTTCCTCAGGAATGTGTTTTGGGTCTGTATCCTTGTCCCTTGTTTCTCCTGCTTTATCTTGCTTCTTTGTGTGCACTGTGATGCTCTATTGTCTCAACAATAGAGACATTGTGTTGTCTCTGACATTGCGATGTTTTCCTGTTTATATTTAATTGGTGATTGAATGTTGGAGTGACTTGCCTACAATTTTCTTTTTCTTTGTATGTTATCCGTGTAAGCAGGGTACTCTGCTGTGCTCCTCTATCTGCTAGTTGGCAGCACTTAAACACTCATCACCTGTCTCCCTTCCCATTGTCAGCCTCCCGTATATCCCTGCCATCCTTGGCAAACAGAGCTTATTCTTAGGTCCCTGGAATCTGAAGGAGAATGCTGTCACTTTAAAATCCAAAATAGCCACCACTTGTAAAGATTCAAAATAGCTGCACCCTTGGTCCAAAATGGATGGCACTTGTAGCATTCAAAATGGCTGTATCCTCCAGACAGCAGATAGTCCACAGCTCAGGTTGTCTCCCTCCTTGCTGTTTCCCTTCCTAGTCACAGGCCACCAGCACAGTCATCCCTGCAGCCTTTGGCAACCAGGGCTGATCTTTAGGCCAATTCTCAGGTCCCAATACCACTAGGAAATATTCAGGCTGTTGGTCCCATCAGAGTAGCTGAAAGTCCACTGCTCTGACCATCAAACCTGACTATTTTTGTTCAGGTTTTTCCACTAGTTGGTGCCTCATCCACTTCTGTATAGTTCCATTCATAGCTCAGGGCTCAGTATTATCTTCTGTATCTGTGCCAATTGATATATCTTTTCTTTGTTGAAGAGGGTCTGTGTAGCTGGTCTGCCTATTCCTCCATCTTACTGGAGGTAGTTACTTAACTTTTAAGATCTGGTTTTCTCATGTGTAAATTAGTAAGATAATAGTAACAACTTTATAGCATTATAGTATTGCATGAGATAGTACATGTAAATGCTGAGCATAGACAGGAGTTTTGGTGGTGTAGTGCCTAAGGTATTTGACAGCTAACCAGAAGGCTGGCAGTTCAAACCCACCAGCCACTCCTCAGAAGGAATACTGGGTACTCTACTTCCGTAGAGATATCACCTTGGAACCCCAAGGAGGGATTGCTATGAGTCGAACTGACTCAACGGCAACGAATTTGGTTTGAGTTTGGTTATTAACTGACTAGGAGCTATAGTGGTATAGTGATTAAGGCATTTGGCTATTAGCTTAAAGGTCAGTGGTTCAAAGCTACCAGCCACTCCACTGAAGAAAGATGAGGTGGTCTGCTTCCATAAAGGTTTACAGCCTTGGAAACCCAACAGGGTCACTATGAATCGGGACCAACTCAATGGCAGTGGGTATTAACTGACTAGATAGCTCAGCCTGAAGCATGGTACTTGGCAAACAGAAGATATTTAATGTAGCTTTGGCTTATTCATACAGAAAACAAATGTTTATTGAAGACCTTCTATGTCCAAATCACTGACATTACAGAACTATAGTCAGGAACAAGACAAAGTCTCTGACCTCACAAAGTTCATCTTCTAAGGAGGAGACAAAGAAAGACTGTTTCAAGCAGTAAGAAAAGCTACAAAAATACAGAGAAGGGTAAAGAGGTGGTGGTCATTTTAGAGAGGATTGTCAAGGAAGACCTTTCTGCTGAGGGAAACTTGAACAAATACTTGAATGTGGAGGAGCTGTCCATATGATCTGAGGGAACGGCAAGAGTAAAGGCCCTAAAGCAAGAAAAAGCTCAGAGCACCGATAGTGTGATATGGACAAATGGATGAATTTTCACAGGATCTGAACCACTCTTGAAATGTAATTTATTTCTGATTATAATTCTTTGCAAACATGTCTGATCTACACTATCAGTTCCTTGAGGGCTAAGGATCATGTTTTATATTTATTTGTAATCTGCATAAGTCATTCAATCAGCAGAAGATAATCAGTTGCAAGGACTTAACTTTTACCTTTCCCGACTATTTAATAAAACCCAAAAGGATTCTCTGCTCAGAATAAATATCACCTCATGAAGCATCCCTGAGTAACTCAAGCCCACTCTGATCCTATCCTTCCTCAAACTTAAAAACGTACTATCTGCCCTACAACTCCAGTAGTACATTGTTCTTATAATTGTTCCCTAATAGTCTAATTATGGCTTTATCTACTCCTTCCAATAGGTCGTTGAGAAGCTTCCAAATTTTACATTACTTCAGCATGTATCTTTACTCTTCATAGATTCAATGTGGGACATGCAATAAGAACTAAAAATTCAAAGCATATTTCCTTGTGAAGCTTCTGATGACCAGCTTTAGGTTAATTCTTATGTGTATGAATCATTAAACTAGTTTTCAACTTTAGAAAGCTTATTTTAACATCAACAGTTAAAAATCTAAAATGCAACAAAGATGAGCCCTTTCGTACTACATTGTCAGTCAAAGCAAACATGGATACATGGGTGGATATATGGGTGGACAGGCTAAACAATTATGCATATCTATGCAGGGGGGAGTGTGCCCAAGACCATGTATATGGTTGGCAGATGATGTTTCTGTAAGTGTACTGCTAAGTTCTATAAGAATTCCCAGGTATATAGTAGAGCTGACAAGGGACAAGTTTGTAGTCACTTATTGGCCACAGCCAGCTACCCAGAGGGAGTAAGTAGTTGGCCTATGAGCTTGGGACCATAGTCACAGGGGACATCAAGCTCAACTGGCATAACATACTACACAAAATCACTCTCCCACATCCTACTTTGGTGAGTAGTGACTGGGATCTTAGAAGCTTGCTAGTAGCAATCTAGATGCAACAATGGGTCTCTCCTTATCCAGAGCAAAGAATGAAGAAAACCAAAGACCCATGGAAACAATTAATCCAAGCAATTGGTACACCATGTGTTCCTCAACCTACATGACTATGAGACGAGAAGAACTAGATGGTGCCTGGCTACCACTATCAACCACTCAGAGGGGGATCTATGTAGGAGATTCTGGATAGAGAGGAAAACAATGTGGAACAAAACTTAAAATTAAAAAAAAAAGAGGGGGGGACACCAGGTTTGCTGGTCGAATAGAGCCTGATGGAACCACTGAGACAATGGCCCCCAGCTGCCCTTCAGGTCTGGAATTGAACCTACTCCTGTGGCTTCCAGCCAAACAAAATACAGGTATATGAGCTGAACACTTACATTAGGTAGATAGACTCCTTGAAGAGATCAATCATGAGAGAACAGAAGGGCTGTGTATGCACCGGGAGACAGCTCGGGGGCCAGGTGCACTTGGGAGGGAACGATATAGGGAAGACGTAACTATGGGGATGAAGCAGGAGGAGAGCTGTTGCACTGTGGGAGATTACAGTCAATGTCATGAGACAAAGTATATGTGAGCTGCTGTATGGAAAGTAAATTTGCTCTGTTCACCCAAATCACAATTAAAAACTTAAAAAATAAAAAAACCACCACAAGGCATATAAAGAAAACGGCAGTGGTTTAGCTTTGCTGAAAATGCTCAACATACTCTATTAAGTCAGGAAGGCCTTTGTAGATGTCTTCATCGTTGATGCTTTCTTCCGTCGGGAAGGGCCTAGGAGAGGAAAAGAAGAAACATAGGTAAGGGAGCAAAAGCCAGGCTGAGCCTTTACCTCAAGAAACACATAAACTGACCTGCATATCAGTCACCATGTCTAATATAATGTCTAGGGCTCCCTGCAAAGTGCCTGTCCTGCAACTGTGTCTGGAGTCTCTTGGGGAGGTCCACTACCTGCTAATCCAAGTCATCCTCAGTAATTACCGCTGCTCACTGCAGCCACATGTGCAATTAAAACCAAAAAACTCAGCCATCGAGTCGATCCCAACTCACAGGGACCTTCCAGAACACAGCAGAATTGCCCCATAGGGTTTCCAAAGCTATAACCTTTATGGAAGCAGACTGCCTCATCTTTCTCCTGTAGAGTGTCTGGTGAGTTCTAACTGTGACTTTTTGGTTAGCAGCCAGGGGCTTAACCACGGTGCCACCAGAGCTCCTTAGTCTGTAATCAGAGACATTTAAATGTGCTTATCTCATGTCCCACCTGCCACATACCAGCTGGGTCCCTACAGTGATCCCACTGCAGCTTTCCAATTCAAAGAACAAGCAGCTGTGCAGGCACCCTGGCCTTCAGCACTGTCTCTTCTCAGCTATGGAATCTGACCCAAATGACAATGTGGTAGCAATCATCCTTCCATGACTCAGTTGATGAGTATAGATGAAAATTATCAGCAGACAGAAATACTGTGCCTTTTACATATGATTACTGACCCTGATGACTCTGCTCAAACTTTAAGGTGTTTAAATTATACCTTTTAATTTCATTTAGTGGACAAATGAGTCAACCAGACCTCAGGGACAAAAGAAGGTATTTTCTTCGCCTCCTGTTTAAAGAAAATTAGACTCTAAATTTTCTCCTAATCCTATCTATTGGCTGCCTTGTTAGTCTCATGCTACTATAGACTTTTTTTGTAACACCAACATATGCCCAAAATTTATGCCTAACAAAAACCATAGTAATTGTGATAGTCTCAAAAGTTTTACCCTTTCTTTACATATACAGAACATGTCATGTGTTTCATGAAAGCTTATACAAGAATTCATCAAAATAATCACTAAATAATTATACTGAAAAGCAGAGTTTCATTTAAGTTTAAGAATTAATTTAATATTTAGGATATTTTAGGAAACTATGTTTTCCAAATAAATGGCCATGTGTGAAAAGTGCCAATATTTCAAATTTTAAAAAAATTTAGACATATTTCATCATACCTATGTAACATTAGAAGGAGTTCTGGTGGCACAGTGCCTAAGGGCTATAACACTATAACTCAATTGTAGAAAATACAGGTAAAAAGGAAAATAAAAAATACCCTTTTCAGAGTTAAAAATACATAAGTACATAAAAACTGAGTCAGACAGTGGAATTGAACCCACTCCTATGGCTTCCAGCCAAACAAAAGACAGGCATATGAGCTGAACACTTACATTAGGTAGATACACTCCTTGGAGAGATCAGTCATGGGTGAATAGAAGGGCTGTGTATGCACAGGGAGACATATGTACTGACACGGAAAGATACATATGTAATAAAGAATATATTACGAAGCACTGAATATTTATCCAGTCTGCAGACTGCTTCTGTAGAAAGCTGCCACATTCATGGCCCATTCTGAGAAAGAGGCTGCACGGTTTATCTCTCCCTGATGTCACTATGCTTTGTACTCAGTGACTGGGGAGCCTGGCCAGTGCTGATTAGTCCTTAAAGGAGTGCTTAGATCTTCTCACTTAGAATTTGAATGCAAGCCAGGCAGAGAAAAATGGAAGCAACAGAGGAAAAGACAGAGGATCACAGAGCCACATAATGGCTGGAGACAGGAGTATGAAACCCTGAGTGAAAAAGGAAAAAACAAAATCTATTCCATTTCCATAAGATCTGGCTGTGCGGCGCGTGAAACTTTATTTCCTGATGATACCTATAAATCATCTTTATGGATGAATCTAACTTGAACATGTAATATCTGGAACAGAAATATCCCCAATCAATATCTCCGTCTCCATGCTTACTGGCTGCATAATACTCCATTGCATAGAGATGACATAATTTATTTAACCCACTAACTTTCAAATTTTTCTTTCATCACCAAACTTTCAATATACACATTCTTGTGAACATAACATTTTACATGTGTTGTTATTCTTCAACTCCTAAAAGCTATGAGTTATTATTACAGCTTCTGATGGAAATAAAACACTCTACAGGAAACAAGTGTACTGTAACATTTTTCAAAATACTTATTTACTTAAGCATTTGAGTTTGTCTTTATGAATCCTATGTACTGAAACACTGGAGGAAGTTAAAGAAAGAATCATATCAGTGATAGTCACTAGTGAACTGAGAACAATGTTTAACCAATGTATAGTTATTACCAGGACTTCAAACCAGTTCAAAATGGTTCATTCATGGCCAACAGAAAAAAGGGCAGGTATATGCGTTGCATGGTGACCAAATCTCTTGCGTGTCAGATTTTGACCTGAGTAGGAAAAAGGTATCAGTATCCCACTCAAAGTGTCCCATGGCCAACTGACAGATATTTCAAGTGGCATGGTCAGCCACCATCTTTGATTGAGGTATCACTGCCTGTTTCCTACTTAGGTCAAAATCGCACATGCAAAGGATTTGGTTGCAAAGCAATATGTATGGTGACCTTACTTCTGTCAGCTATGACTGAGCTATTTCAAACCAGTTCAAAACCCTGATATAGTTACTCTATGAATATATCTATATAACTCTGTGCATAAGTTCATATTTGCACGATAATTTTCTAATATGTAGTAGGCAACTATATACCAGGCAATCTACATAAGTGAGACAAGGTCCCAGGACTCATGGTGCTTTGCAAACAGTAACCATTTGATTAATAAAACATTATATTGAACTAAACATGTCACATGACCCATAGAAGAACAAGCTTACCTAATTCCCGTAGCCAACGCTATAGGTGTTCGAGAAAGTCGCGATAGTGTTTCTATCACCTGAGAAAAGAGGAAAGTGTTCATTGGACATGCATTTCAGAAAAGGTAAGTTACTTTTTCCCCCAAAAGCCTAGTTTCCCCATCTAATGCTAACAATGGCAGCAGAAAAGTAAATTTGCAGATGCCAAAGAGATGCAGTGGGAGGAGCCTTGACTAGGAAGTACTTACACCTGGGTTACAGTTTTGCCCCTTTTTTAACTTTATGATTGGAAGCAGATTACTTTACCCATATGGATTGTACTTTCCTTATCAGTAAAACAAAGAGTTAGACTGGCTGATCCCAAAGCTCTCGTATCTTCTACGTCTATAGGTTCTGAAAGATCTTATAAAGTTGTACTCTCCATCATAGTAGCCACTAGCTATATGAGGCTATTTAAATTTAAATTAATGAAAACTGAATAAAAGTAAAAATTCAGTTCCTTAATGGTACTAGCCACATTTCAAATGTTCAACAGTCACATGTGACTAGTGGTTACCACGCTGCACAGCACAGACAGCAAACATTTTCATCATCACAAAATGATGGGCAGTATTGCTGTATATCAGTGTGGGCTCTTGCACTAGACTCATGTACATTCAAATCTTGGCTTTACCACCATCATCCATGTACCCTTAGGTAAATTACTTAACCTCTCTGGGCTTCTGTTTCTTCATCTGGATAATGCCTATAATATAACAAACATAAAATCCAAACACACTGCCGCCGAGTTGTATCTGACTCATAATGACCTCTCCTTGGATTTCTGAGGCAGTATCACTATGGAAGTAGATTGCCCCATCTTCCTTCTGAGGAATGGCTGAGGGGTTTTAACCACCAGCCTTCTGGTTATCAGTCAAATGCTTTACGCACTACACCACCAGAGCTCCTTATAATATCCCTTCTTTACTGAACTGTTGTAAGGATTAGATAAGTTAATACTTGTAAAATATTTAAGTGGTAGCTATTTTTTATAATTATCAACTTTAAGATAATTGCCTATTCTAATTCTGAGTGCTTTTCAGGACAGAAATAATTTTTCATAAATTATCCTTGATTAGGAGCTCTGGTGGCACAGTGCCTAAGGCATCTGACTGCTAACGAGAAGGTTGGCAGGTCAAACCCACCAGCCACTCCTCGGAAGGAAGATGGGACAATCTACTTCCCTAGTGGTACCACCTCAGAAACCCAAGGAGGGGTCGCTATGTCAGATCCAAGCGGACAGCAGTGAGTTTGGGGTTTTATTTGGAGTATCTGTTTCAAAGTCTCCTTATCGTCAAAGGTCTTCAGCACCTGAACCTAAATGTGCTGGCTGTTATTTTAGAACCAGCAATTGCCAGTTCTACCCTTCCTTCAAATTTTACACTTAAGATCATCTGCTCAAGATGGTGGAATAGGGAGAAAGACTGCATAGACCCTCTTCAACAAAGAAAAGGGGAACCAATTAACACAGACACAGAAGATAATTCTGGACCCCTGAGCCTTGAAGGGAAGGATACAGAAGTAGACTAAACCCCAACTAGCAGAAGAACTTGCATGAAAATACCAAAAAGGAGACATACGGAGCTGCATCCCAGCAGCGATCCTGAGCAAGCCTGACAGCACGGCACAGACTTTGGAGAGTGCCGAGTGGTCGTAGGACCTAAGAATTAACCTAAAAATCAGCCTGCTAGCCAGGGACTGCACGGGGGACTGCTCTGGTGGCTAGGGAATAAAACACAAAGAACAAGGGAAGAGAAAGGCAGGCTGAGCTGTGGACTTTTGCCTGTCCAGAGGGCACAGCCATTTTGAATGTTAACAAGCAGCTTGACCACTTTGGATATTTAAAGAAACAGTGCTCTCCAAGATTCCAGGGGCTTAAGAACAGGTTCTGCTTGCCAGTAACCCCAAGGACACCCCAAACCTGGACGACTGAAAAAGTGTGACATTCCCCTTGTTACTCTTATACCTCACACCCCTTGGTGAATGGAGGTGCGGCCACCCACACTCCCACCCACCTTCTGGGCTCAAAGGAACTCCATCTCAGTCTGTGTTCTCAGGCAAAGCCTGGGTGCCCTGCCCTACCCTCACCTGATTTTTTTCTTTATCTTTTCTTTTCTCTTTCTTTTTTCTCGTTTTTAGTTGGCTTCTTTTTGTCTGTTTTAAAACTACTATTATTATTAATACATTTGTTCTTTTTACTATTATTCTTTATTCTTCCCCTCGAGGTCCTAGCTTTCAGCTCTTTTTCTTTTCCCTGTTCATGGTTGCAAATTTCTTTTTTTTTTCTTTTTTTTTCTCATGGTTAACCCTGTTTTTTGTTTTACTTTTTGCATTTTTCCCATTTTTTCTTCATTATTCTCATTCTCTATCTTTATTCACTGATTACCCTATACCCAGATACTGCAGGTTTGTTTTTTTTTTTTTTTTTTTTTTTTTTTTCTTTTTTTTTTTTTTTTTTTTTGGTTACTGTTCCTGTGTGATTACATGGTGTATTTTTTTGTCCATATGCTTTTAGTTTTTTGACAGTTATTCAGTTGTAATTTTTGTCTAATTGAGTGGGAGACAGCAACAGTCCCCATAAGACACAACTACACCCACACCTCCTGCAACTTCACTTACTGACTGAGAGACACCACCTCCTTCTCCATCAATGGACCAATGATAAAAAACAACCAAGAAGTGCCTGAATCACCCTTGGCTGCTCTTCACCAACAGTTAACAGAGATCTTAATACAACAACACCACGATGTCTCAGAGACAACAGATCATCACAGTCCACACAAAGAATCAAGATAAAGTGGTAGAAACAAGGGAATAGGATACAGACCCAGAACACATCCCTGAGGAAGAAGCAGCATTGGAACTCTTTGATAAGGAATTCAAAAGAATGTATTTAGGTATCTTCAAAGGATTGAGAGACAGACCAAAGAAAATACAGAAAAAACCCTAGAAGAATTTTGGAAGAAAATACAAGAACAAAATCACAAAATAAATGAAATATTAGAAATGATTCTAAATCTACAGATAGAAATCCAGAAGATTAATACTAAATTGTAAGAAATATGTAACACATAGGAAGGGCAAAGAATTGATGTAATAGAAGACAGAATGAATGAGATTAAAGACAAATACCTGAATACTTCTTTGGAAAGGGATAAATCAGAAAAAAAATTTAAAAAAAATGAAGAACATCTAAGGTTCATGTGGGATACCATCAAAAGGAATAACCTACATGCCACTGGAATTCCAGAACAGGAAGAGAAAAATAATAGCACTCAGAAAATTGTCAAAGATTTGTTGGAGGATAATTTCCCTGATATAAGATGAGAATATATACATTCTGGGAAGTCCAATGAACCCCAAACAGGATAGACCCCCAAAAGAAAATCACCAAGACACATCATCAAATTCACCAAAACCAAAGACAAAGACAGAATCCTGAAAGCAGCATGGGAAAAACAGTAACTTATTTACAAAGGACAGCCAGTAAGAATAAGCTCTGATTTCTCAGTAGAAACCATGCAAGTGAGAAGGCAATGGGGTGGTATATATAAAACCTTGAAAGAGAAAAATTTTCAACCAAGGATTATATACCTGGCAAAACTGTTGCTCAGATATGATGGTGAAATTAGGAGATTTCCAGATAAGCAGAAACTAAGGGAATTTGTTAAAACCAGACCAACCTTACAAGA